CTTTAGATTGTTTTATTGTTGGGTTTTAAGTTCTTTATCAGATATATCTTTTGCAAATATTTTCTTCTAGTCTATGGTTTATCTTCTCATTTTCTTGATAGTGTCTTCTGCAGAATTTTAACCAAGTCCAGCTTATCAATTATCTTTCATGGATGATGGCTTTAGTGTTGCAACTAAAAAGTCATTGTCAAACTCAAGGTTTTTAAAGATTTTCTTCTGTTTTCTGGGTGTTTCATAGTTTCGTTTTTTTACATTTAGGTCTATGATCCATTTTGTTAAATTTTGTGAAGGATGTCTGTATTGCCTCTGCTTGTGAAATATCAGCTATGTTTGTATGAGTCAATTTCTGGGCATTGTATCCTGTTCCATTGATCTCTTTCTGTTCTTATTTCAATACTACACTGTCTTGATTACTGTAGCTTTATATTAATTATTGAAGTCAGACAGTGTTAGTCCTGACTTTGCTCTTCTTTTTTAATATTGTATTGGACTGATATCCTAACAATGAGTCTTCCTATCCATGACCGTGGAATATCCGTTTATTTAGTTCTTCTTTCATCAGTTTTGTAGTTTTCCCCCATAGAGTTCTTGTACATACTTTGTTAGATTTGTTTACTTCTTTTGGGTGCTAATGTAAATGTTGTAATTCTCAAATTCCATTTGTTGGTATACAGAAAAGTGGTTGACATTTGTATATTAACCTTGTATTCTACAACCTGCTATTAGCACGCTAGTTGTACAAGGTTTTTTTTAATTCTTTTGGATTTCCTACAAGACAAATAGGTCACTTGTGAACAAAGCCAGTTTCATTTCTTCCTTCCCAATCTGTGTAGTTATTTCCCTTTCTTGTTCTGTTGCATTAGCAAGGACTTCCAGTACAAATGTTGTAAGAGAGTGAACATCCTTGCCTCATTCCTGGTCTTAGTGTCAAAGCTTCTAGTCTCTCTTGATTAAGTAGGATATTAGCTATAGGTTTTTTTGTAGTGACTCTTTATCAGGTTGGGACTCCTTCCTAGTTTTGGAGATGTGCCACTTTATCTACATGTCTTTATTGTCTGTGGGGATATTATTCTGCATTCTTTGGCATTTGACTTTGATCCTTTCTGTTAAGCATGTTTATGTTAGTTTTTCTTCATTTTTAAGGAAACACGATTTATGAGTTTTTCTAGTTTCAAGTTTCTACAGTACTTTTTGTGTGTAAAATATTAAAATATGAAATGTACAAAAAAACAGCTGTTTGAACTCGGCACAGAATAGGACTTTATAACTGTTTCTTTTAGGAGTTAATAAATATTTAATAAATATATTAAATAACTTATTCCCAGGAAGAAAATACATCCTGGATCTAATGGAAAAATCCTAGTTTCACTCTATTCAGTGAATGTGATCCCCCAACCCTATCTCTATTTTGACTGTCCTGATAAATTTAGATTCTGTTAAGAGTATCTTTCAATGTGGAGCTCTGTCCATGGGGGCTTTGCTGGTTAGAAGTTTTTTGAGCTCAGACTGATCCAGCCCCTTGGCTTAAAACCAAGCTTCCTTGGTACCCACCGCAAACCTCTCCCAATTTTGGCTGTAGTTCTCAAATTGGCTCACTGAACTTCCAAGTGAGAACTTGTTCTGGAGTTGAGATGCATCAGATGCTCCATTGCTTCTTCTGGAACAGGTGATACTATGAAAGTCTTGTGGCTATTGGTGGTTTATTTCTACATACCTTATTTTGGGGCTCATGGGGGATACTTAGTTTTCCTGTAATGTTGCCCAAGGTTTTGTTTTGCTACCATGACCGCTCTGTGCACTTTTATTAAGGATTTGAGAAATATTCAAAACAATATTATCTCAGAATCACTTCCAGGTTAAGTTCTGAAAATAGAAACAGGTAAAAGTTAAAGGGGAACACCATCTTCTTCAATGACTATGCTTTTCTCTAAAGTGTTGTCTTTATCAACCTTGAGCACAGGGTATATATATATTAAGAATTTTGGCAAAACCCCTCTCATCTCCCTGAGCTTCACAGAAGATTAAAGAGGCTGTCCCAGCTCTGGTTGATGACCTTATACTAGTAATATATGTAGTTTCAAAGCAAATGGACCACTTCATTTGGACAATGGTGTACTTTTTTTCTTCAGGGTGACCCTCACACTGATGCCCCCGGGCCAAAAAGGCCTGACTACTGTTTACAAGGTAGAAAAGGGTACGGCATACTTTTTCAGCTAGTTAAGTGACTTCTAGGCAGATTCATAGCATTTCTCTATTTTTTCCTGGATAAACTGCAAAATTTCCAAAACTGTCAGTTTGGATCTGCCATTTAGAAGAGACACATCTTGGACAAGCTCTATTTTTTAAAATCATTAACAACTTATAAAACAGAGATAATACCTACCTTATACATTAAGTTTGAATGAGCTAGCCGATGGCATAAATGGAAGAGGAGTCTGACAAACTGGAAAGCCATAAATAAGATGCACCATTGCACTAGTTTAATACTGTTCAGCTTCTTACATTTATACCATATCAAAACCACAGTACCTAGTAATAGAGTAGGTACTTGATAACAATAGCAAACATACTAATTCCTAATAGGCATGCCTGGCACACAGTAGGGATTTAGTAAATAATTATGGAACAGAACCTTCCAATTCTGGCAATAATCAGATGAGCTTAAGTCCTGTGGTATAGCTGGAATATTGAACCAGGTCTCAATTTCCCATCTTTAAATTCTAGCATCTTGCCCTAACCGGTTTGGCTCAGGGGCTAGAGCGTCGGCCTGCGGACTGAAGGGTCCCAGGTTCGATTCTGGTCAGGGGCATGTGCCTTGGTTGTGGGCACATCCCCAGTGGGAGGTGTGCAGGAGGCAGCTGATTGGTGTTTCTCTCTCATCGATGTTTCTGACTCTCTTCCTCTCCCTTCCTCTCTGTAAAAAATTCAATAAAATATATTAAAAAAAAAATTCTAGCATCTGACTTGCTTCCTTCTCAGAATTATGAGACCAAATAAGACACTATATATGGCCCAGCTAGAGTGGCTCAGTAGTTGAGCGTTGACCTATGAATCAGAAGGTCATGGTTGGATTCCAGGTCAGGGTACATGCCTGGGTTGAAGCCTCCATCCCCAGTAGGGGGCATGTGGGAGGCAGATCAATGATTATCTCTCATTATTGATGTTTCTATCTCTATTTCTCTTTCCCTCTCCCTTCCTCTCTGAAATCAATAAAAAAAAATATATATATATTTTAAAAAGGCACTATATATGGAAATACTTCTTAAAGAAGACCATGAACCTATTTTTTTCACCCCGGGCAGAATTCAGTTGTGGCTGTTATAAGATTACTAAGTATTCCTACAGGCATTTTGGAAAGGCCTTCAAAAAAGGTAATTTTTATTCTGTCTCCAACTGGTTACCTCCTAAGCTCTTTAAAGAAATGAATAGCATTTTCTCTATTTTTGAATCCCTTATATGCTTAGCAAAGTGGTAGTGTATCATAGGTTTCAGTAAATATTTGTCAAACAGTATAATACTGTTATAGCAATCCATCAGCAAGCACTGCTGTTTACTTGCAAAACATGCCCTGATTCCAAGTACTTCTCCTTATCCCTGTTATTACTTTTTAAAAAAAATATATATTTTATTGATTTTTTTACAGAGAGGAAGGAAGAGGGATAGAGAGTTAGAAAGAGGGATGAGAGAGAAACATCGATCAGCTGCCTCCTGCACACCCCCTACTGGGGATGTGCCCACAACCAAGGTACATGCCCTTGACCGGAATCGAACCTGGGACCCTTCAGTCCGCAGGCCGACGCTCTATCCACTGAGCCAAACTGGTTATGGCTGTTATTACTATCTTAATAGAAGCCATCACTGTATTGTTGCTTGCCTAAATAATTGCTATAGCTTCCAAACTGGTTTCCTGGCATCTATTCATCTCTCTCCCAATTGGACAGAAACAATCAGAGTAATTAAAAAAAACTAACCAACCAATAAAACATAAATTAGACTATGTCATCTCTCTGCTTAATATTCTGCAATGACTTTCCCACTGTACTTAGAATCAGATTCTTTAAACTAAACCCACAGGCTGTACCTCAGGTCTCAGCAAATCTGACCAGCCACATATTTCTGTAAATATAGTCTTACTGGAGCACAGCCATGTACTGCCTATGGCTGTTTTTGTGCTGCAATGGCAGAGCTGAATAGTTGTGACAGCGACCACATGGCTTGTAAAGCCTAACTATATTATGTGGCCCTTCAGAGAAAGGCCAGTTTGCTGACCACTGTACCATACGACCCAACGCCTATCTTTCTGGGTATCTACCACCCCCCTTCCCTGCCCTGGTCATTCACTATATCCTAACCACAGATTCTTGCTCAGAAGCTTTGTACCTGCTGTTTAACTCCCCGGGAAAGATCTTTATTCTTATCCCATGACTGCTTCCTTACCACTGAGGTCTCAGCTTAAACGGCACCTTCTTAGAAACTTCTCTGATCTACCAATTTAGAGTGAAGCCTCAACCTCTCTAGTTATGTAACAGCTGTGAAACAATAACATGGTAATGACTACTTGAAATTATGGACTGGTTTAGTTCTCACCCTGCTCTACAGTGTAAGCACCTTGAAAGCAGAGATTTTTAATCTGCCTTCCTCAATGCCCCATTTAAATCACATAAACCCACCACCAAAAACAATGCCTGAAATTATTTAATAGAAAAGAACGAGGTCAATAAATCGTTGCTGAATGAATAAGGTTAAGGCCAAGGTCAGGAACTCTAGTCTGGTTCAAGTCAGTTTGCAATGCCCAGTTCCACTGCTGCAGACTGACCTGCCCGTAATAATAATAAAAGGCAGAAATAAGACCAATCCATATTCCTGGCCTCACTATGGGCACAACTCCACCAAGAGCACATCCTTCTGAACGTGGGTACACCTTGCCCTCTTCAGGTAAGGAAACAGTTAGGAAAATATGGCAAGGCAAGGTCACAGAACTGGACAAAGAAGTTCTCAACTTTATGATTATTATGGTTAAGAATTTTATTATCAAAATTATTACATCTCTTGTGAAAGTTCAAATGTTACATCAAGGTGTAAACACTCCACTTGAGAAAGAAGTGATACTTCTTCCCTTCCAAGAGTTCCCCCCACCCCCCGCCCCCATCCCCCCCAGAGGTCTGGTCTTGACAGCACCCTGCCCACACAGAGTGGCTGGGGTCTCTGCACGTGCCAGGCAGGGTGAGGGCCGCCTGCCTGCTGGCCTCTCCCCTTGGTTAACAGCCAAGGAGAGAATGCAAACCCCAGCCCAAATGGAGAGACATTTACATACGTTTTATATAATATACAAAGAAACCAGCATCCCAGGCCACATGATTTCCACTCCCAAGGCTCTCCCAGACTGATGGGTTTGTGGGGGAAACAATAAAAAGAAAAGTATTCTGCTGAGTTGTCAGCATTAAAAAGAAAAATCTCCCCTCATTTGAGCAAACACCTGATTTCAATTGTGAAAAAATGAAATTTTGTAACAGTCACACACAAAGAGAGAAGACTGTGCATATGATAGTTGTAGGAAGGGTAGAAGGAAGGGGACGGAAGAGGCTGGGCAAACAACAAAACAACAACAACAAACAAACTGGAGGGAAGGAAGGAGGGAGACTCACAGTATTATCTTGTCCAAAAGAAAAGAAGTAAGGTCCACTGCAGCACCAGGGATTACACCTGTCATAGATCTGCTACCCCTACCATGGTTATAACTGAATACAAAATTAGATAAATAAAAACACGCCGGATATTACAGTAAACAAGTGAAAGAAATAAGCTGGCAACCGTATGGAATTTAAAAAGATTGTGTACCCCACCTGGGCTGGCTCCAGGGCTCCTCCAGGGGTGTACAGCAGGCACAATGCACTGATGGGGAGAAGCCAGTCTGCTCTTGTCTCTCATCCAGAACAGTGTTAGGTGCGTGGGTGGCTTTCTAACTGTCTCACCCAGGCCACTCTCAAATAAGCATCCCCCAAAGAAATGTGGAACATGCCCACACACAATCACAGTCCTGTCGGCACCACTCCACACATCTTTCCACTCTTACCCTGCAGTCACGAGTGCATGCTCCCCGATCACGGAGGCGGTCCTACTCATGGGATCGTCAACTCCTGATTAATTGGGAGTAGAAAAAATAAAATTCAAAGAATTCCCAAACCATCTGGGATCCTTCCTAAGTAAATTTATTGCCAACAGCTGATAAATAGCAATTGGCCCACCTCACTTATCATTCCTCTTTCCTTTACCTATTACTTCATGGGTTACTGAGCTGTGAAATAGCTTGGGGAAGGGGAGTGGGATGGTAACAGCTGGGGGATCAGACAATCTACTAGGTTAATCTGCTCCTGAATAATCAAGGATTGACCACAAGCTTTTCTTCAGAGAGCCAGGCATCCCTTAGAGCACATTCCAAGCTTCACTATCCCTGCCTATTTCTCGGTGATTTAAAGACAAAGGTAGGAACATACTTGGTGGACACATCTTGGCTGGATATCTGCTTTTGGAATGGTTGTCTTCCGGTGAACATTTACATACCTACCTTTTTTTTTAAGTGCATAAAACCCTAACACTATTAGATGGCTTGGGGTTTGGAAATTGGCTCTTTTCACATTTTTTTTTCTTCGAAAAGAAAACTTTTTTTGGATTTAAAAAGATGTCCTCACTGCACAAGTGACTACAGGCTACAGGCAAGGATGGGAGACGGAGGCTTCAACACAACTCATTGCACTTAGAACCGTTACTAACCGAAACACCATTTGCTTGTCAACAATGTACCCTTAACAGCAGGGAGAAACTTCTTTATAGTCTCTGCTTCAGACAAGATTTACATCTTTCTTCAAGGCCTGAGCCTGTTGTGACCACAAGTCTTGTTTCTTGTCGACCAGACCCAATCCTCTGGCACCTTGTACCCCCTTCCCCAGCAATCTGCTTGGCCTAGGTTCCAGAGGCAGCTGGAAGGAAGCAGCTATGGGCTCATTCAGTTCGGTTTGCCCAAATCCAGAAGCCCTAGGAAAGTCCTGTCTGAGTCTTGACTCCCGACCCTTGCAATGGCTGGAGTCGGTACTGGTGCACACTCCCACTCCCACGGTGCGGGTAGTGCAGTGAATTGGAAACCGCAGATACCCTGGAGGCCTGGTAGGCAGTGGACTGCCCAGCACTGGGCAGACTGATAGTCCGTAAGTCTGATGGCAATGACGACCTAGAGTTCTGAGGAAAGGAGGTGGAACTCAGAGTTCCTGTGCTGGACTGGGAAACCGAGTCTGAGGTCGGTGAGTCTGAGGGCCCCTGCGGGGTAGGGCTAGCAGCACTCGAAGGGCAGCTCCTCCTTGGAAGACTGCTGCCCGTGCTGTTTCCAGAATGTGGCTGGCTGCTGTAATACCCTGGGGTCCCCGTAAATGAGGCCAATGAGTCTGTGGACACAGGGTGGGCGGGGCTGGAATAGGACGTAGAGGAGAGGGAGGATTCTGAAGAACCATGAGAGGGGGGGTTTCCAGGTCTCAGTGCAGTAGTTCGATAACTGTATCCTGGAGATTGGGTGGGATGTCCTCGAAAGGGGGAGGAACTTTGTTGAAGTAGGCTTTGTGATTCTGTCCGTGGACTATCACACTGCAGGAGCTAGAAAGAGTTGGGAAGAAAAGGATAAAGAGGTGAAAAAGTCCCTATTTAAGCCATTTAGGTTTGTGAATATTAAAAACACCCTACTTTTTCTTCATCTTAACTACTGTTCTTTTTAGAATACCAAAGACAGTAAAATGGCTATCTCTGATCACTTTATTTTTCTGTAATGATTTGATTACCCGAAGGTGAGCAGATGATGGCTTATTTCTAAGGCTGCTGAAACTATACACAAAGATGGCATCTCAAAACACTGGCATCCAGAACATATTCCTATGCCCAGAGATGAGCAATTTTTCGCCTCACCTGGTAGCTGTATCTGGAAGGGCTGTAAACGGCCGCTCCTTTTGAGAGTGCTGAGCTCAGTGTCTCTGGGCCTTCTCCATCTGCAGGGTCTGGAATGTAATACAAAATCAACCTGGCTTCTTAGAAAGTGAGAAATAGCCATTGTTTATTGCAATCACCAATGCCATCACTAATCCATGCTGCTCTTTCTGTCAAATAAGGTGAGTGCAGCAAGCGACAAGGGCAAACGGAGTGGTTAATTATGGGCTATGTCTTAAATGCCTGATCTGACTCTGTCTCCTTTCTCTTCATCCTCCAACAGGGTAGATTTCCAGGCCTTTGGACAGATGAGTTACCAAAAGGTATCCCTTGGGGGAAAAAAAAAGCACACAGAGAGAAAGCAATGGTAGATCTTAAGAATGCTGTAGCCCAAAAGAGTAGAAGCAAACCAAGCTGGAACCGTGCATACAATGAAGCCCAACCACATAAGAAGCTGACTCACCTCAGCCTAGCATTTGTTATGAAACGTATGGAGCCTGGTCACACGTCTCTGAACTGGTTGGCAGCACAAAGCCATAGGCTTACCTGAGTCTTTCTCTGTGATGTTACTCTCCCATGTGGGAGAAGGCTCTCCTTTTTGGGCCACCCTCACACTGCTTCGGAGGACTTTGGGGATGCTCCCTCCTTCTCGGAGTCGTTCTACTGATGTGGGAACCATCCTGTGAAGGCAACAGGGTGCAAGTTTATGCCGCAGGACTTCAGAATCAAGGGTCTGGAACATCTGAATCTCTGACAAAGGTTGTACAACAGAGTCACTTAAAAAACATCTTCTTAGACATCATTTTCTTCACCAATTTAAAACAAGATGTTTTCTTTGCCTCAAACTATGTCAGGCACAAAAGAAAAAAGACTTTTAAAGAAAAAGCACAATAAAAAATTTTTAAAAAATTACATTCCATCTTGATGTTAAAAAAAAAAGCAATCAAGGAAAAAGTAAATTTAAGATGTCTACTTCTTTTAACCAACCCCCACCCCCCCCACCAAATTATAAGAGAAAGTTTATTTAGAAAGTTACAGAGGTAGTAAAAGCGAGCCACAGAAGAAATGGGCTCAGGGCACAAGTTACAGAGGCAAAAGAAGGGCCCTTGGAGCTTAGGAGAGAGAAAGGCAGAGGTGACAAACCTGGGGGAAGGGAAAGTCATGGGCATGCTCCCAACAGGGAGAGTGTGCTCAACCCCCATTTTGAAATGCTAAGTTTTCTCTCCTGTGAAGTCATGTGCCTGGCACATGTAGTATTTAATACATGTTTATTAAATAAACATGTAGTGTCTAATACAGGTTTCATAGATTAATAAACATTATTTATTTGAGCCCCACTCTTCTTGCCCAGATTTCATTTCTTCAGTTCAAGATCACTGAACTGCCTCATCCTCTATTTCACTCATCTGGGATACTCAAGTACTTGCCATTAGTATTAGTTATTTGTGGTCTCCCCTAAGCCAGACAAGTCCTTTCAGAATATGTCTTATCTCTCTGCTAGCTGTGTGGAATTGAGACTTCTGTTGTCAATTTAAAGTGGAACTGAGCTGAACTCCTGATTTACCTTTCATATGAAATGAGATAACATAAGAGGCAGTGTTAGGGCCCAGCAAATACTATACTGTATGCAGTTCAAAGTGGTGTACCACAGGATTGGTGGCAATTGTTTGCTTTTATAAAGCTGGGGGGTGGTGGTGGTGGTGGTTCTGGCTGATATTATTTAATCAGCTGAACAGGATAGAGGGCACTGTTGTCTTGCTTTCTCAGATAAGTGTTCCCATACATTTTAGATAAAACTGGGAACAATTCATTTAATTATTAAAGCATCAAATATCAACTTACCACCTACTGCTGATATTCTCTTGTGGTCTGCAGTGAGATGAAGTGCCTCTGGAATCAGATGGGCTTACCGCCTCCAAATGGGACAGAGAGGAATGAGATGGGGAGAACTTTTTGTGAGGGGAAGACGGGGTTCGGGCTGAGGATCCCTGCACACCGTGGGCACCAGTGTCAGAAAGTGAGTTACTGCTGCCTTGCCCAGCTCCTGCAGACTTGCTTTTGCTCTGTGCAGAGTCACCGCTCCCACCAGAATTCTCCTTGGCTTCCTGTTTCCGTTTGCGGTACTCCAGCAGGGATACCTAGGAAGGAAATAACAAACAGGACTCTAGACATTGTTAGTGGATCAGTAGCAATGGGGAAATATAGACCCCTATAAACCATCAGCAAGCCATGCAAACAAAGCAGGCACCAACATTGGCAACTTTCGTCAGGTATGATGCAGATCTGGTAAGGAGAAGAGAAGACACCAGGCAATAATATTTTTGAGGACTGGTATTCACTAGTAGAACTCAACATTTTTTCTGCCTTCAGAAAAACTTGTGAGATTATAGTGCTATCATAGTTATCTGCAACAACAGTAGCTCCTAGAAAAGGGAGGGAAGAGAGTTGGGAGCTTATGTAGTTTGAAAAAGTCTTCCAGGTGATTCCGATAACTTTTTTTTTTTTTTAAATATATTTTATTGATTTTTCACAGAGAGGAAGGTAGAGGAATAGAGAGTTAGAAACATCGATGAGAGAGAAACATCGATTAGCTGCCTCCTGCACACTCCCCACTGGGGATGTGCCCACAACCAAGGTACATGCCCTTGACCGGAATCGAACCCGGGACCCTTGAGTCCGCAGGCCGATGCTCTATCCACTCAGCCAAACCGGTTAGGGCTATTTGTTTTTTTATCTTTAACATCCAGCATAGAACTTGGCCAATAGCAGGTGCTCAGCAATAATTCTGAAATAAATCATGATTTCTATCACTTTTGCACATAATGAAACCAGAAATTCAAAGTCTATTTCCATTTTTGTTCCTGATAGACAATGCTGTTCATGCAACAGTTTTCAAAATCCATTGCTGTTTTATTCCAAATTATCTGCCAGTGTTTTCTCCTTCTATCTTCTTAGGGTTCTCATTTTTTGTCCAAATGTAAAATATAACAAAACTCAAACTAAGATAAATTTTACATATGCATTTTTCATACATAATCTTGGAAAGGAGTTAATAATTTTTGGTAATGTATTTTATTTTAACGTAAATGTAAAAAGTCACTAAGCTACATTTTACCAATAGTACTACAGATATTTTGAAATTATGTGAGACTGTCACACACACAGAGCATCTAGCTTCTCTAGCCCTTCCCAATAAATAAAAGTTGCTGTGCCAACCTCCAAATACTCCCATGCATATCCAAATGCCCTTAGTTGAAAAATCACTGATATAAAAGACAACTCTCGATAGCAGTGATGGCGAACCTTTTGAGTTCGGCATGTCAGCATTTTGAAAAACACTAACTTAACTCTGGTGCCACGTCACACATAGAAATTTTTTGATATTTGCAACCATAGTAAAACAAAGACTTATATTTTTGATATTTTATATATTTAAATGCCATTTAACAAAGAAAAATCAACCAAAAAAATGAGGTCGCGTGTCACCTCTGACATGCGTGTCATAGGTTCGCCATCACTGCTCTATAGCCTGGCTCTGCCCATCTCTCTCTCTCTATTTTTTAAAAAAAATATATTTTATTGATTTCTTACAGAGAGGAAGGGAGAGGGATAGAGAGTTAGAAACATCGATGAGAGAGAAACATCGATAAGCTGCCTCCTGCACACTCCCTACTGGGTATGTGCCTGCAACCAAGGTACATGCCCTTGACCGGAATCGAACCTGGGACCCTTGAGTCCGCAGGCCGACGCTCTATCCATTGAGCCAAACCGGTTAGGGCTGCCCATCTCTCTTGATTTTCCTCCTTACTCTGCCCACCCTTCTCTGACACCATGGCAACACTCAACTGTTTACAATCACACCCATCCATAATTACTTGTCACATAATTAATTGTTCTGCTCCCTCTTTTGTTACATTCTCGCCCTCATTTGTTGGATGATTGATTCCTACTTATTGTCTAAGATCAACTAAATCAGTGACCTGTTATCTCTCACTCCACCAGCCTTCAAATTGGCCAAGAGCTTCTGGCTTGTTCTTAAAGCACCCTCCACAGATCTGACTAGCCAGGTTCCCCTGTTAAGATGTGTTCACCACTGAACAACTATTTTGAAGCATTCATCACCATTATAATTAATTACTTATTAATATAATTATCACTTGCTATAAGCCCCCATTAGGGCAGAACCTAGGAGGCAATATAGCATGGTGGCAATAAGAGCATGCAATTGAGAATCAAACAGACCTGGGTAGTATCCTGGCTCTTCCATTTACTAGCTGTGTGACCATGTGCAAGTCACTCAACTTGCCTTAGTTTCCTCATCTGCAAAGTGGGAAATTACCTATCTTACAGGATTATTTTGAGGATTAAGTGCTTAAGAAAGCTTAACAGTGACTAGAACATGGGAAGTGCTAAATAATACAACTAATTATTAATATTCTTTTCCACTGCTCTATTCTTTGAACTGCCTACTATGTGTATGGCACATACATGATAGGCATTTAAATTTGCTGATTATTTACAAAATTTATCAAATTGTATTAAAACAGCCTGTATTTTATTGGGCATGGCAGAGACCGTGTCTTACTTATCTTTGTTTTCCTCACACTGAGAGCAGTGCTGAACACATAGCGGTAACTTCATAAATATCTATTGTTAGTGCTCTCTATCGTGTGAAACTTACCTTTTTCCTCTGTGGTGGGTTCTGGGGGGCAGATGGGACTCCTTCACAAGCCCTTTCACCACCAGGTGACATGGATCCACGAGAGACTTCTTTCATAAAACCATGTTCATATCTGCTGGGAAACCCTTCTGCAGGGGAACAATATCCCCCGTCCAAATGTAAAGGCTTCCTATCTCCTACTAGAGGAGACCCTCGATATAATCCATCTGCTCGAGGCATAGCGTTCAACGGGGAATAGGCATACATTAAGTTAAACTCTGTCCGAAATGCCTGGTCCGAGTTCCTCACGAGGGTCTGATGTCCATCCCCATTCCTGCTGGGAAAGCCAGTCTCAGAGGTGGGCCCAATGGAGGGATGAGGAGCCAGGTCAGAATGAGCTGAGTTGATGAGGGACGGTCTGTCAGCACAGCTGTTAGTGTTGGAGTCAAGGTAGCCTACTTTTGTCAAGTCCAGGTCTTTTCGGTGACAAAGCTGAAAGAATAAAAATCAATGGAGACATGGGGTAGGGGAGAAGGAAAACAGTCAAAGGGCAGAAAAGAAAGGAGGGAAGAGGGGCACAGGTGAACAGTAGAGACAAAAGGGATGAAAGCAGAAGAGAGAATGCCATTAACATCTGTGAGTCCCATGTAGCAATAGTGTATACAGGCCAGATCACTAAATAACCCCCACCTTTCCCAAATTACTTTCAAATCTTTCTGGAGGAGAATAATGAAAAAATCAGAATTAGGTAATTGGCCAAATGTGACTACTTTGCCTGCTTAGCCTTTCATCAGGTTTGCTGAATCACCTTGCACTACATTAAGGGATTGGCAGTATTAATTTGGGATTTACCTGAGCCCCATGTATGCTACAGAGATGAGACCAGCTGGCTTATATAACTGGCTTCTGGTGTTATTCGTTTCTAAGTTAATATTGATGGAAGGTGGAAGGAGGAAAAAAGTTGAAAGAAAGTAGAAAGTAGATGGAAAGTCAAGTATTTAAGGTACTGGTTCAGTAAAGGAGAATGGCATCAAAGACATCAACCAACCAGTTCTTCACTCACTTTCACTATTAAATAGATATGTTCCTCATAAAACCTTCTGGTCACTCAATTCTTATTTATCCTCTAATCTATGTCAACACACCATAATACCACTAATGCCCATCACTGCAGAATATCTAAAATGCTGAAATGTGCCAAAAATAAGCCCCATCTACTATTTGGTTATCATTACCTCCTAATACCAAGATTTTCCATCACTAGGTCAACTAACTAACTCTAGAAAGAATGATTCCAGAAACCCAGATAATACCCCATGTCAGCCTCCAAAATATGCTATCTTAGAACCTTTAGCACCTGAGGAGAGAACACTGTACTTTCCTTGTAAGACAGAAAAACCACCCAGAAAACCTCTAGTACACTAGAATACAACCTCTCTCAGTTTCACAATCCTCTATAAAATCCTACTGATTCGGAATTTGGTCAACTGTCACTGTGTTTAATACTAATTTTTTATTAGAAGGAGGGGTGTGTGTTAACAGTTAATTTCTAAAAGGTTATGTGAGATTATAACTTCCTCTTCAAGAGGAAAAAGACTATGTGGATTCATGGAATTAATCATTACTACCTCTGTCCAAATCTTCTAATAGTTAAGAAATGCTACCACTAAAGTCTGAATTTTAAATCTCCACAGCAACAGGGTTTCTGAGCAAAGCACTCAATTGATATCCTAAGGCAGTGGTCGGCAAACTCATTAGTCAACAGAGCCAAATATCAACAGTACAACGACTGAAATTTCTTTTGAGAGCCAAATTTTTTAAACTTAAACTATATTGTAGGTACATTGTTATTAACTTAATTAGGGTACTCCTAAGCTGGCTTTTGCTAAAAACGTCCTCAATCTGATTGAGGCACGTTCACTGAGGTCGACCCCTTCCAACTCTCCCATCCACACTCGTCTTGTATACTTGTTTCGTCTATCTCCTTTCCGAAAACCGACTTCTGTGCATGGGCCACGAAGTTTCAATCGCACTGTACGTGCGTGCCCGCATGTGGTATTTTGTGGAAGAGCCACACTCAAGGGCCCAAAGAGCTGCATGTGGCTCGCGAGCTGCGGTTTGCCGACCACTGTCCTAAGGGATACCACTTGTATGGCAATCATATTCCAACCACCGCAGAATGGAGGCCTGGGTCACAGAAGCCATGGGTTGCCATAGTTTCCCTGTGTACCCAGTAAGGAGCTACAAGAATGTAGAAGGCTAAGAGGCTTGCCTCTCCCATTTTAAAGAAGTTCCTCAATCTACCAACCAAAACCCAAAACATGCAGTTAAACAGAGCTCTCAGATTAACCCAGGAACAAGGCATAAATCACTGCCTAACTTTCCCAACAAGGTGCTCCTTTATCAACCTAAAATAATAAATATCAAAAAATAGCTCATACCAACGTTTGATCCAACTTTTCCTACTTAACAAACACACATTGTCAGACTTTCTTTAACAAGGCTCCTACCATACTTTCAGCCTTCATTAAACTTTACTTCTAGATACTATTCTTCTTTTAAACTCTTTAGCCACTCCCTCCCCACCACACACACATAGCTACTTTATTTTCCTCCACCTACATTGAGAGTTCTAAGTAACAACCAGTCATACATGGGAAGATTCATTCAACTTACAGTGACCAATCGGCCACCCTCCAGCCCATCACCCCATTTGCTTGGATACCCCAGCCCTTCCCATACACTCATGCACACTCACTATCAGCCTCCAAGTGTGATTGAGATGGTGTGATAACTACCTCGGGTGACAGGGACTCGGGCCTATTCGCAGGGTAACTCTCAGGGGAGGATATGTTCTAGAGGAGGGAAAAGCATCTTGTTATTCATCTACTTGAAGTCAAGAAGCAAAACAAAACAAAAAATAAAGTAAAAGCAAGCATAGATAGTTAGCCACAACTTTTTTTTTGGTGGGGTGGGAGGGACAAGAATGCACAGGGGAAATGTTTAACTGCAGAATTCATCTCAATGAACAGAATGACTTGTTAAAATGCTTCCTGGTGCCTTTGAAAGCATTTAAGAATAAACTGGTTATGTTTCATGCTATAAGTAAACATCTCAAGCAGATATCAGGAAAGAGGTGAAATTTCACACTATTACAGTTGACCCTTGAACAACACTGGTTTGAACTATGCAGGTCCACTTATACATGGATTAAAAAAAATATGTATAGTACTGTAAATGTATTTTTTTCCCTTATGCTTTTTCTTAAATTTTTTTCTCTAGCTTATTTTATTGTAAGAATACAATATATAATACATATAACATACAAAATACATATTAAGCGACTATTTACGTTATCAGTAAGACTTCTGGTCAACTGTAGGCTATTAGTAGTTAAGTTTTTGGGGAGTCAAAAGTTACATGCAAATTTTCGAATGCACAGGGATTCGGTGCCTCTAACCCCCTTCTTGTTCAAGGGTCAACTGTGTATTTCTTTCTACATTAGATGAGAGTTTAGCAACCTATAGTATTTGTTATTGGGCACCTGACCACTTATTTCTCCTTAGGGGAACCTTTTTCTTTCACCCCACATCCCCTTCTTGAACATTACATTTCCTCATTTTCCTATGTGACTCAGGCCCACCAGTTACCCAGGGAAACCACTTAGCATGTTAGCAGATGACAGGGCTAGGGGGACAGCCTGTTCCTCTTAAATGACAGTTATAGAAGATATGACTGATGGACTTTGTAGCTCACAGACTAGATGGTCTTGGCATAATCTAATCGGATCTGACCACACCTACCAACATTCTGATGTTAAAATCCATTGTATTTTTAGAAACAGAGAGAGGGAAAAAAGCAGTTGTGTATACTGAGAGTCCCTGCTTCCAAAACAGGTTTACCCTTAAGGCTTTCACCTGAGGTATCACTACCATATCAAACAAACTGGGCAGTGAACTCTGATGGGAAGATCTGAATGGTAAAAAGTGGAAAGAATGATGGTGGTAGTTGTGACAAGAGTTCAGGGTGCCAGGGGTAAGGTGGGGGCGGGGGGTTCTTAATGTTGTATACTACAGACAACTGTGTCTAGGGTAGGGGAAATGAGGCTGCTTCAGCAGAGCAGGATATTTATTGACTAGAAATTTTACTTGGTGGGATGGGTAGAGAGTGTGAGATGGATAGTGGAGTATGGATCACAAGGCAGAAAGAGAAGGATTATTCTGGTGGGAAGGAGGGGCAAATTAAGTGTGCCTTCTCAATGCTGCTTTTAGTCTCTTTTCTTGATGTTTCCCCGCTCCTTACAATCTTGTTCTTTTCCACTACATGTTTCCTTAACTCCTTGTCTTGGAGTTGGAGAAATTTCTCATTTTTCTCCTGGAATGTTTTTTATTTTTCCTTTCAAAAACATTCTTTCCCCAACCAAACTGATTTTTACTTGTGACACCTTTAGGTATTTCTGTGTGTCACAGTCTTGGATGGAAATAAGGTTCCCCACACCTTCTTATACTAGAAAGTAGGAAAGAGTATGGCAATTAGAATGATAAAGATGGTCAGGATAGTGAAATTTGTTTTTTAATTGATCAGAAAGGCTAAATTTTCTCAGTTAAATAATGAGATAAAATAGCAGAGACATACACTGAACTTTATGAAGGGATGGACTATTTAATACATTATAACATTTCCCCCACTCCTGATATTCTAACATTATGCTTAGACTATGCATCAATAAAAAGATCTTTGATTTAAAAAAATATATGCAACACTTTACACTTTCATAGTGTTTCGTAGTTATCGAAAATACTACAAGGGATAGGAAATACACTGAGTACTAAACTTGGCTGTTTGGGAAGGCAACTTACCTTCTAATTTTATGTTTAATTATAATTATTACAATGACAAGGTCTGAATCCCTATTAATATAATATGCTGCCCACCAGGGAGAATGTCCTCTCATGAAATTTTATTTATCAAACTCTAGCTGCTAACTGAAAAGTCAACTGCAATCAGACCAGGTAAACTTAGTAAGGCCTGAATCAGCTGCTTTACTATCTGGCTAAAAAGAACGCCACAGGGAATTATTAGAAATCCAATGTAACCAGGAATATTTTTTACCCGCCAAAGAGGCTTGCTCCAAAAGTCAAGTTAATATGGTCTAGCTTAGGTATAGCTGCCTCTTGTTTTTAAGGCTGCTACCTCGTTCTGAGTTAGCCATTTACAAGTCCAGATATTTTTTAAAAATAGTGTCTGTTTAATTATAAATCAAAGCAACATGCAATAAATGAGGTATATTTTTATATACCTGGAATCTACTCTGTAAATCTGCTGTCACCCAAACTTGAATACTAAAGTGATTCAGAATCGTTTTAAAATAACTGAGATATAAATTTCTAACTTAATCCAGAGAGTGAATGTAATTAATTTGTCTTTATAAACGTGTTGCTAGTTTCTGTCTTATTCCTAACAAATTATAACAAAAAGGGAAAGTAACCTAGAGTAGGGAAAAAACCCTCATTTGCCATAAACCATATGCTTTCTCAATCCCTATTTACTGAGCCCATAATGAGAATACAAAACAACAGGGAAAGAGACACTTTACTAATTCAAAGGCCTAGAAACAAAGACAAAAATATTATAATCAAAGCTCTCAGGCTGTGTCATTAATGATTACTAGGCAGCTAGAGGCCTGTTTAACAAGTAGAGAGTAAGGCCAAAGATGGAGATCTAGCATGCTTACTACCTAAAGTTAGGGAGACCAATGGACTGCATGCAAGAGGCAAATGAATGTCATCTGTGGTATAATTATTCCTATTCTGGGAAGGATGTGGATTGCCAAGATGAGAGGCTACCAGGTAATAGGTCACACTGACCCTGAGGTTTCTCATTCTCTTGCTGAGACAGGCAAGGAACATGGTAAAGAAGCATTTGGAATGATACTGTATTTAAAATGAGGAGGTGCAAATGATGACTTCATATTCAGCACTCCCAACAACCAAACCCAAATCACCTCAAACTGCAGAGGAGTATTACAGCGACTAGCAGTAGTAAGAGACGTGATTGGTGAGAACATGAGGCTGTATCCATTTCGACATTCTTCTTCTGGGTGAGATGGGCCAGGTGTGGTCAGCTGGGGGCTCTTTGAGCCTGGATTGGGAGGGGGTGGTGTGACTGGAGAAAGAGGCCGAAGTAACTTCGTGACATTCTGCTCCATCAGATAGCGAGACTTCCATTTCTTTAAAGGGCTCAACAAATCTGTGAAATACAAAGCTCAGATGAGAGGCTGAAACCACAGCTCAAAAGGAGGCTCTGCAGTAAAGCCATTAATTTCTAGCCCACAATGGCTCTTAACTTTTCTTTTGCCTCAACCCATTGTTACCTCCTGCAATCAAATCAAAAGCCCAAAGAAACTCTTTAATTGCCACTCTTTTTTGAAACTATCTCCCAGAGAATTGCCAGATAAAACCTACACTTCTGACTGATCCCTGGAGCTAATTAATTTCTTCCAGTGGAAAACATAAATTAATTTTTACTGAGTTTCCAAAAAACCCAAATTTGTGTCACTTTGTTAAAACCACCCTCTACTTAATTAACATGTCACCAGCTCAAACTTCCTGAATGCTAACTACATAGCTCTTTTCTTTTATCTTCTCCTAAACATTTTTTTTTGCCATTTTTCAGCAGCTTTCTATGACATTCTGCTTTAGTAGGAAAGAGGTACACATGATTACCTATTCCATATGTAACCACTAATTTTTGAAACGACTTCTATGAAAACTCCCAACCACTTAAAACAACTAGGCTGGAACTTTTTCTCATTAGAATATTATACTTTCTATACTTTAGAGGTCACAGTTTGATTCCCGGTCAGGGCACATGCCTGGGTTGCAGGCTCGATCCCCAGTGGGAGGTGTGCAGGAGGCAGCCGATCAACGATTCTCTCATAATTGATGTTTCTATCTCTCTATCCCTCTCCTTTCCTATCTGAAACCAATAAAAATATATTAAAAAAAAAACCTTTATTGTTGAAAGTATTACATATGTGCTCCTCCCTCCCCATTGACCTCTTCTAGCCCACCTCCACCCCCCACCCCCAGCCTTCACAACCCTATTGTCTGTGTCCATGGATTATGCATATATGCAAGTTCCCCAGTTAATCTCTCCCCATCCACCACCCACCCCCGCCTTCCCTCTGAGATTTCACAATCTGTTCCATGCTTTTATGTCTCTGGATCTATTTGATCATCAGTTTACTTAGTCATTAGATTTCACATATGAGCGAGATCATGGGATACTTGTCTTTCTGACTGGCTTATTTTGCTTAGCAGAATACTCTCCAGGTCCCTCCATGCTATCTCAGGGGGTAAGAGCTCTTTCTGTTTTACTGCTGCATTGTGTAAATGTACCACAACTTTTTTATCCACTCGTCTATTGATGGACACTTGGGCTGCTTCCAGATCTTAGCTATTGTAAATTGCGCTGCTATGAACATAGGGGGGCATAGATTATTTCTGATTGGTTTTGGGTCTCTTAGGATATATTCCTAGAAGTGGGATCACTGGGTCAAATGGCAGTTCCATATTTAATTTTTTGAGGAAACTCCATACTGTTTTCCATAATGGCTGCACCAGTCTGCACTCCCATCAGCAGTGGTGTACTAGGATTTTTTCTCCACATCCTCACCAGCACTTGTCATTTGTTGATGGTAGACATTCTGACAGGTGTTAGGTGATACCTCATTGTTGTTTTAATTTGCATCTCTCTGATGACCAGTGACTTTGAGCATTTTTTTTCATTATGTCTCTTGGCCATCTGTAAGTCTACTTATGGAGAAGTATCTATTTCGGTCCTTTGCCCATTTTTTAATTGGACTGTTTGTCTTCTTTTTGTTAAGTTGTATGAGTTCCTTATATATTTTGGATATTAACTCTTTATCTGATGTATTATTGCCAAATATGTTCTCCCATATAGTGGGCTTCCTTTTCATTTTGTTGGTTTATTTTTTTTAAATTTTGTTTTATTGCTTAAAGTATTACAATTGTTAGGTTTTTTTTTTTTTTGCTGTGCAGAAGCTTTTTATTTTGATGTAGTCACATTTATTTTCTCCTTAGTTTCCTTTGCCCTAGGAGATGTATCCGTAAACATATTGCGACAAGAGATGTCTAAGATTTTCCTAAGTTTTCTTCTAGGATTTTTATGGTTTCTAGACTTATATTTAAGTCTTTTATCCAATTTGAGTTTATTCTTGTGTGTATGGTGTAACTTGGTGGTCCAGTTTCATTTTTTTGCATGTATTTGTCTAATTTTCCAAACACCATTTAGTGAAGAGACTGCTTTGACTCCATTGTATGTTCTTGCCTCCTTTGTCAAATATTAATTGGGAAGAATGGTTTGGGTGGATTTCTGGGGTTTCCGTTCTGTTCCATTAATATATATGGTTGTTCTTGTGCCAGTACCAGGCTGTTTTGATTATAGTGGCTTTGTAGTATAATTTGATATCTGGTATTGTGATCCCTCCAACTTTGTTCTTCTTTCTCAAGATTACTGCAGCTATTCAGGGTCTTTTTTGGTTCCATATAAATTTTTGGAGTATTTGTTTTAGATCTGTGAAATATGCCATTGGTATTTCAATAGAAATTGCATTGAATCTATAGATTGCTTTGGGTAGTATGGACATTTTGATGATGTTGATTCTACCAATCCATGAACATGGTACATTTTTATACTTGTTTATGTTTTCCTCTATCTCTTTTTTCAAAGTCCTGTAGTTTCCTGAGTACAAGTCTTTTACCCCCTTAGTTAAGTTTATTCCTAAGTATCTTAATTATTGGTAAATGGGATTGTTTAGTTTCTCTTTCTGAGAATTCATTATTGGTGCATAAAAATACCATCGATTTCTGGGTGTTGCTTTTGTATCCTGCTACATTGCTAAATTCATTTATTAAATCTAGATTTTTGGTGATCTTTAGGATTTTCTTTTTTAAAATATATTTTTATTGATTTCAGAGAGGAGGGGAGAGGGAGAGATAGAAACATCAATGATGACAGAGAATCATTGTCTAGCTGCCTCCTGCACACTCCTATTGGGGATCGAGCCCACAACCTGGGCATGTGTCCTGATGGGGAATTGAATAGTGACCTTCTGGTTGATAGGTCAACACGCCGCAATCACTGAGCCATGCCAGTTGAGCTTTAGGATTTTCTATGTACAATATCATGTCATGTCATCTGTAAATAATGAGTTTTACTTCCTCCTTTCCAATTTGGATGCCTTTTATGCTTTCTTCTTGTCTGATTGATATGGCTAGGACTTTCAGTACTATGTTGAATAAGTATGGTGAAAGCAGACATCCCTGTCTTGTTCCTGTTCTTAGAGGAAATTTTAATTTTTGCCCATTAAGTATGAAGTAGGCTGTAGGTTTGCCATATATGAAATTTTCTGAGTTTTTATCAAAAATAGGTGTTGGATTTTGTTGAATGCTTTTTCTGCATCCACTGATACGATCATGTGATTTTTGTCTTTCAATTTGTTTGTGATGTATTATGTTTGTTGATTCGCAAATATCATACCAGCCTTTCTGAAATCAGTAAAAATATATTTTAAAAAAGAAAATCCTAAAGATCACCAAATACTAGAACAAATACTCCAAAAATTTATATGGAACCAAAAAAGACCCTGAATAGCTGCAATAATCTTGAGAAAGAAGAACAAAGTTGGAGGGATCACAATACCAGATATCAAATTATACTACAACGCCACTATAATCAACACAGCCTGTTCTATATTGTCTCTGAATTAACAGGGGACAAATATATTGGGAGAAAGGATTTGCAGTAAAAATGACAGTATTATCCCTACTAGCAATTTGGTAAGATTTATCATAGGCATTAAAAATATTCATACTCCTACCCAGCAGGTATGGGTCAGTGGTTAAGCATCAACTGACCCAGGAACCAAGAGGTCACGATTTGATTTCCCGTCAGGGCATATGCCCGAGTTTTGGACTTGATCCCCCAGTAGGGGGCGTGCAGTAGGCAGCCAGTCAATGATGTTCCTCTCTCATTGCTAGTAGGGATAATACTGTCATTTTTACTGCAAATCCTTTCTCCCAATATATTTGTCCCCTGTTAATTCAGAGACAATATAGAAACAGAAACATTGTTTATACAAGTTTGATTTAAGAAAAATTTGAATGTGTCCGAATTTGCATTGGCAAGAATCTAATTCTTTTAAATCCCTCCAAATTCCAGAATAATTTACATCTTTCATTTATATAAGGCCTGTTTCCGACTATTCTGCTCCATCTATAATAGTAAAAGGGTAATATGCTAATCAGACCGAATGTGAAGCCAGGACCAGAGTGAAGCAGCCCAGGTCCCGGGTGCCAGAGGGAAGCCAGTGCTGGCAGCCGGGGAAAGGAAGGCCTACTCTTGCACGAATTTTTGTGCATCGGGCCTCTAGTATTTATATATGAATCCATTCTTGGATCGGTACTGTACTAATTTAATTATTAGTGTCTAGCTTCATATTAGAAACTAGTTTCACAATTCTAGGGAAAATATATCTCATTATTCTTTTTCAGTTATTTTTCTTGGCTGTTTTCATGCTTATTTTTAAAGATAAACCTCAATATAACTTAATCAAATTTCAAAACATGATAGTTTGATGGTAACGCTATAAAGTTATAGCTCTGCTAGTGGCCCGGTGCATGAAATTTGTGCACGGAGGGGGGGGGGGTTCCCTCAGCCCAGCCTGCACCCTCTCCAATCGGGGACCCCTTGGGGGATGTCCGACTGCCGGTTTAGGCCCGATCGAAACCAGCAGTCGGACATCCCTCTCGCAATCTGGGACCGTTGGCTTCTAACTATTCACCTGCCTGCCTGCCTGATTATTCCCGAACTGCTCTGCCTGCCTGCTTGATTGCCCCTAACCCCTCTGCCTACCTGCCTGATCACCCCTAACCCCTCTGCCTGCCTGCCTGCCTGATCACCCCTAACCTCTCTGCCTGCCTGCCTGATCGCTCCAAACTGCCCTCCCCTGCCGGCTTGGTTGCCCCCAACTGCCCTCCCCTGTAGGCCTGATCTCGCCCCCAACTGCCTTCTCCTGCCGGCCAATTTGGTTCTGATTGGTCGGTTTCTATGCCAGTCAGCGTCAAAAGCTCCGCCTCCTAGGCAGCCATTGGCTTCTCACAGTTCACCCAGGTTTGGTTCTGACTGGTCGGTTTCTATGCCAGTCAGTGTCTCTGGGCCTATCTCCGGGCCTGATCAGAGAGGCAGGGCTGATCAGCAGCCTCCGCAGAGGCTCAGAGAGAAACACAGGCGCTGGAGAAGCCTGGAGAAAGAGAGGCAACGGCTGATCAATAGCTGCCACGGAGGCTGCGGATCAGACCCTGCCTCTCTCTAGGCCTAATCCGCAGCCCCCTCGGCAGACTGCAGGACTGACTTCCAGTGTTCGGTCGAGCCTTCAGTCGGTCGTTATGGACCCTGGGTTTTTATATATTAGGATAAGAAATCAACAACAACAAAAAACATCCTCAGGTGAGAAATAACTATAACAACAACAGCAACAAAAATTTCAGCAATGGTTTGCTCCACATGCTCCACCAATGTTATTCCTAAGAAGTTTCTTAGTTTTGTTAAGTTTGAGAATAAAAACTTTTCTTTATTAATTTTCTTAGTGCATAAATGCTACTAATTTTTGTATACTGTCTATCCAGCAGTTTTATTAAACAAGAGTTTAATTCTAAGCTTTTCAGTAGATTTAGGCTTTTCTAGGTATATATCCCTATCACTTATAAATAATGAACATTACACTTGCCCAAAGCTGAGTAGTAATAACTTTGATTTCTATATGACTTTAGTTTTTAGGAACTTAGAATTGTTAATTTATTATAGTATCTGACTAATTTCTGTGTTTCAGAAGAATTTTGTACAGAATAATGACAGTAATTATGGGTCTGACATTGCACTAAGAAATTTATACATATCATTTAATTTAATCTATTAGTTCTTTGAAGTAGATATTACTATTCCCATTTTACAGATGAGGTTAAGAGATGTTTAGTAACTTGCCATTTATCATATAGTTAGTAAAGAGTAGGGCTGGTCTCAAATTAAGGTCTTTTGGGAGTCTTTCTCCTATACCAAACTGTCTCCCTTTCTTCATTAATATCTCCTTGGTCTTTTTGGGAAACAAATAACCCTGAAACTAACAAATAAAAATAATTCCTTGGAATTTTCATTAACTTGTAGCAATATACCAAGTCACCCATTTGACTAGCTTTTTTTTTTTTTTTTACTAGCTTGGTTTTAAATGAATATTTTCCTTTTGTTTATATTGCTCCTTATTATTAAGGCAAGGTGTATCATTTGTATGTTCCTCACTGCTAGAGACAGGAGCAGAAGTTCAATAAAGGCCCAAACCGGTTTGGCTCAGTGGATAGAGCGTTGGCCTGCGGACTGAAGGGTCCCAGGTTCGATTCTGGTCAAGGGCATGTACCTTGGTTGCGGGTACATCCCCAGTAGGGGGTGTGCAGGATGCAGCTGATCGATGTTTCTCTCTCATCGATGTTTCTAAGTCTCTATCCCTCTCCCTTCCTCTCTGTAAAAAATCAATAAAAATATATTAAAAAGAAAAAAAGAAGTTCAATAAAGGTTGGTGACTAGTTGTCCTAATTCCATTCCAAATAATGTATATAGTAACCAAGGCACTTTCCCTATGTCTTTGTCAGTCAGGACACGATGCTATACAACCTCACTTTCCCAACCTTAAATATGTACACATTTAACACACACACACACATATCACACAAATAAAAATGTGCATTAGGCAGATTTCAAATGTATACCAGACAGAAGATTTCAGTTAAGTTATATAGTTACTGTACTATAAAAGTTACCATAAATTGATAATATCGATAGAAATCTGGTACCAGCATTTTTTTACATTAATCTGGTTTGAGTAAATCTCCATAGTACATGATAAGTAAAATATTTTAAATACATGGTACTATTTATCTTCTACACGTTCCACACTGGGATTTTATTACCCTGGGGTTATGCATGTGATAATTTATAAGGTATAATACAATCTACAGATAGAATAAAATAAGTCAATAATTTGAAAATACATTTTTAGCAGCATATTTTTCCCCACATACATTATACAACATTTTAACATAAAGCAGATATTAGCAGATAAGTGTACTTACTTAATACAATTTTGTATTTACTCAGCAGGTCAATGAAAAGAAACAATGAAGTAATTTTTATGAAAATCTGAAATATCATGCTAGCTGCAGGCTTAGATGACTTTTTGCATGTAATTTATCTTGATATTTTATTTTAACTGCTTATTATCCACCAAAACTGAGATATAGAGATAAACTTTGGGAAATCACAGAGAACTTTTCAATTAAGCTGATATTAGCAGGAGAAACTTTAGTAAAAAGACTGTCCCAAAATAAGCTGGTGTCATAAGTTCATGTACCAGTGCTTTCAACGGCAATTCAATTATACCCCCCACAAAAGTCACTGTGAAAACTAGTGGATTGGATGACTTTTCATGGCGCTGTAGTTTAAAAATGAAGACTTCACATCAGATTCAAGGTTGTCTTCTAAAAATTTTGATGCTAACAGGGAAAGCCCTTTTTAAAAGAAACAATTTCTAATAATTTTTTGTTTATTTCATTCATCCACTTACCCTTCAACCAAGCCACACTCACCTCAATTACCTATAATTGTGATTCACTCCTGAATAGTGTCCCACATCTTTCTTACTTCCTCTTTTATAAATATGAATAAAGGTTTCCTAAACTTACTGCTTAAATATATCTAACTTTCTTTATGATAAATATATCTAACTTTTAAATAACTATCTCTGCTGTTATCTGTACACTATTTCCTACTTTGTCATCCTAGAAAAAATGATCCCTGACTTGAGATCTCTCTCTTCCTCTGTAAAGACAGATGAAAGGAACTATTTAAAGAACAATGCTATTTCTTTTTGTATCAGACTTTTTCAGTATTCATACTGAAATAATCATTGCTCATATATTCAGAAAGGTTTGAGATACATACCTGCATTGTCTTTGCAGATACTAGAAGAGTTACTATTCTCATTACTTTGGTATAGGTGCTGAGTTCTAGTCTCTTGGGGTACAGATGATGTTTGAGTCATCCCTTCTTCCAAGGCTTGCTTTATCCAGCGCTATAATGGGAAAAGAACCAGGAAATTATCAATAATTATTTAAAACTATTAGTATATCTATTTCAAATGCATTAACCAGGTCATTCATTACATATCAACTGGCGAGAGATGCAATCCAACACACTCATTCAGTTCCATAGTCAAGTATTTTTTCTTCTTGTGTTTCAGCATATTGGAATATTACCCATCAATTCCTTTTACTGGGCAAAATTGAGAAAACCTAGATTACACATAATGAGATCTCATTAAAAAACCGAAACCAATGAAAAATGATTACTCAACTTTTCATACTGCTTAGAATGGGGAAAATGGAAAGAGATAAGAAGAAATCTTAGCATTTATTTAAGAGATTGATCATATAGGATGAAAGTAGCACATAAAATAAGTGCCAAGAAGGAAGATAAAAGAACACCTCTTCACTACAGGTACCAAAATACTTCTAAAAGGTCTACTCTCAGATGGAATATCCTGCTAATTTTTCTCTTCCTATCAAGTAGTTGGTTAAATTATGCATAAATAATGCAAATAACCAGAATAAATGATCTGTAGAAATAAAAAAGGGGAAAAGCCACATTTTTTTTTTAGTGAATACTGGAATCTAAATGATGAAAAATAAATTAAGGTCAGGAAGTAAGCCTACAAAGATTAGGATTGTAAAACTACGCATCCTGTGGAAGAGAGAAAATTTCTTACCTGTAATTGTGTTCTCTTAAGATACACAGTTGTAGGTTGCTCACCACTGTGTGGCTCTCCTGCCCTGACATAAGACAGATCGAATTTTGATAAACATCAATTTCTGAGTAGGACCCTCCCCCAAATAGGAAAATCAAAGGTGTTTATAATTTCACACCTTTAGAGAACAAGTATTACAGGTAAGTAAATATTCTCTTCACTAAAGAGAGGAATTTTAATAGATTTGCCTGATTAGAAACGTAAGAAACAATTATTTTCTAGGGAATAATTTCTAGGAAAATTTCACCAAGAAAAAATTTATATCTTGTAAATGGCATTGTGGACTGCCTGCCAAATAAAACTAAAATAAAGTTGTAAACATGAGGAGAAAAGAGTGAATAAGAATATAAAAAGATCTCCACAATCAATTGAATCACATCAGCATTGTAGAATATGACCAGGTCTCTGAAAAGCCCAAATAAGACCAAGAATGAACTCTTTTATACACAGAATATTGATGTAAAGATGAACCATCAGAACCACAACTCCTTATGACTTAGAGAAGACCTTAGAAGTCCCTTGTCCAAAGCACGTAGTGTACAGATGAAGAAAATTAGGATCAGGAGGAAATGACTGTAAAATCCTTCATTATAGATACCTTTAGTACAAGTTTTTCTTTTCAGAGCAGATGACAGGACTTAATTGGGGTTACTGTGCTTTCCTCCAAGAGAAAAGTAGATGCACCCATAAAAGAAGTTACATTCTGGATTTGATAACCAAAAAAAGGAAAAATAAAACAAGGATAGGGGCATTCTAAGGAATAAGATGCTGCTATGGTTGGATATAAGATCAAACACAGCAAATATGATCTAACCTATTCCTCCTGGCCCTATTGTATGCCTACACAGTTATTTTATGGCTCATAAAAAAGGATCATAAACATCTGTATCTAACAAGTTCAAATCACCCCTATAGCTAATAAATTAACATTAGATAGCCCCATCCCTGAGTCCCAGCTATGGTTAAGGTCAAAAGAACATTTCTTCCTTCTCTAAAACTCTGTATTACAGAACTTTTTAGGAAGCTCAGAGATGAGAGGGAGAAATATTTTAAAGAATAAAGAGCAAGAAAGTAACTTCGGTTTTAGTTCAAAGATCTGTGTTGAAACTTGGCCATGCCTTTTACTAGCTGCCTAACTCCGGGCAAGTTACTGAACCCCTCTAAGTCAAAGCTTCTGATCTATAAATTGAGGCCAATAATCCCAACTTCACAGGGCTGTCATGTAGGCTAAGTGAGATATTGTATGTGAAGAAAGTTTGTAGCAGAGTACTGAGTACAAATGATCAGTGAGGACTTGTTCAGCTGAATTTCAATGCTATATGTAGAGATAGAGATTAATAACCTTCCAGTGCATACAATGAAATATCAATGCAAAGGACAGTGTTTCATTTTTCAGTCAGGATGGTTTTCTAAGAAATCCGGGAGACCAAATGCCATACATATATTATGCCTTCAAGGTAAGTTTAGAGAAGATTTAGAGAACAAGGAAGGATACTACTTGAAAGACTTCTTAGCCACTTATAAATGCTTCCATTCTAAAATAAGAAGTGAAGCAAGATCCAACAAAAGACATACATACCATAACATGCTTTTTAAGAACTATGATTTGATTTACTTTAGAAACTCCAGGGAGATCATAAAATATTCTGTCAAATACTCTAAAAGTCTGGGTGCAAATATACATATACAACTTTATGCTGTTTTTTACTTAAGAGCCCTGTACCTCCTTTAATTAGATATGAAACAGTAGGCCTATTAATAATATACACTGTTCCAACTAAATCCCACGGAGGATGGTTTTTCTCATCTACCTGTTTAACCTACATTCTTCTCTAAGGTATCTTCAGACATTTATTACAATTTTGTTTAATCACAGAAATCTTAGGTTCTGCATTAGATTAATACTTTCTAACCAATCTACAAATGACTCGTCTTCATCCCCACCCAGGATAAAGCTGAGTTTGACTGCTAGATAAAAGCCTCAATTTTATTAGTTTTGCCCCATAAAAAACCACATTCTGGTTTTGTAATGTAATTTTGGTATGTCAACAGCAAATCTTAAAGCTGTGATTTGAACTTAGTTCAGATCTAAACTTAAATAAATAAGACCCAATTTAAGTAAGGTAATTTTACTATGATAATTCAGAGTACATAGCCTGAATTCCTGAAGACTGGTATGACACACATAGATGAAAAGTGCCTGTGCAGAGCCTGTATATAACAAGACTAAGGATAGACAGACACATTTGGAGAATATAACATGAACATGAATTAAATGGGATTTCTATCTGTTGCCAGTAGAGATATAAAGATGAGCCAGATACAAGCCCTAAGCCATAACCTGGGAAAAAGAGCTCTAAGAAGTAGATTTTCTATGAAATTTTAAGTTTTATTTCTATACGTTTTTGGTTTTCACAGGACTCTGCTAGTTGGAAAAGCAAGATGGGAATAGAAAGACCATAACCCAGCATCAGAATAATCAAGGCATCATTTCAGAAGCTAGTCTATACTATTTACAATTCAGACTTCACTACTAATCTGTACTAAATAACTGTCTAACCTTCATAAAGGACCAAAATAGGAGATTCTAGAATCTGGCTTGATAAGATGCTTCAACAGTTAACATTCTTAGAAGTCTAGTAATCTGTTATTGCATTATCTACAAACCATTTTGCAAAGATACCATGGTCAAATTGCACTTTAGTTCTACTTGGGAATTTCCCCCAAATAAACCAGTAAGTGACTCAAATACTTAGTAGGTAAGATGTATGATTAGGAAAAGACTTTCTTCAGTGTATACTGCTCATTCGGTGGTAGGGCCCTTCCTTTGTGCACAGATCCCTGTTGCCCTCCTCCCCTCCATATCCCACACCACTCTGGCTCTTCTTTTGTAACCCCCCTCCCCCCAAGAAATAATTTCTGCTCTTTGGGGAAAGAGAAAAGCTTTAAGTTTGGAGGAGTCAGGGAAGACCTGCCTGGAGTTGGAGACTTCATCACATCAAATAATCTACATGCAGCATCCTCATGTACGTGATGCCAGTGGAGGAGGGCAATGGCAGACACTGAGGAAGGCAGCCTGAATCCAGATCTGAGGATAAGAGAAAAGGGTGTTCCAGGGAACAGACTACCTCAAAGGAAGACCAAATGAAAGGGTGTCCTATACTTCTAGAAACACAAAAACGACATTATAGTCTGAGGCAATGATCTATTCCTGAGAGACACCTTTGGAAAATATTCAGGGCTTCTGGGAATTAAGAAAGAGCATTCCAAAAACAAACAACTCAAACACTACTGCCACTAGATCCAAAAATAGTATGTAACTAGAGAGAGGAGAGACAGGAAGAGAAAGAGATAGAATGAATTTATAGTAGGTTCCATATTCACTAGGGAATAAACAATCCAACTTGTCATTTGATCAAGGAACAACAATTATGCCAATTGTAATAGGACATTTCCTCTACTCTAATTCAAATGATAATAATGATTGAATTAATTTAAAACACAATTCGATAATTTTTTACTTATGCAACAGTACTTTAGAGTACCTGGGGCCCAATCTCACTCAAAATCACAAATGGACATTTTAACCAATACCACAAGAGCACACACAGAACATCCCTCCCTTCCCAGGCATCAAATGCTGTGCGCTCTCAACTCAGTAACCTCAAGGGCTCTCTGAAGACAATAGTGAATACTCACAAACTGAGCACCAACAACGCAGTACACAACATCCGACCTTAGTCCCACTGAGTTTTGATGCATCGGTATTCAAGGTTGAACAATTAACTCATAATAAACTCACATGGGCAGAGAGTAGCTATCTGGAGAATGTGTTAGATATGTTAGGATTGCAAGCAACCTAGGTTAAAAATAAACATTGACATACCTTTTTACAGGAGCTGAATGTGCCATCAGGCAGAAGGGGCCTTCGACGCCTCTCAGGGATAAAGGGTGAGCCAAAGCGAATGTAGTGTTTGGGGGTGGTGCAAATTAACGGGGAATGGATAAGACCAGGTAACATGTTCAGGGTCGTTGCCAGTACAGTTGGGTCCGTGGTGATACGTAAAGGGCACTCAACAGGGCATTCTTGCTTCTCAGCTTTGTCATTCAACCATTCTGTAACTAGATACTAAAGCAAAAAGAGATCATCAGTTGACGCTGCAGATATAAAAGCCAGAGGCAGCAGTGTTAGATGATAGACAAACCTCATCTAGAAACTAGGACTCAGGTAGATACAGCAGCTGCAGAGAATGAATTGGGCATTCAAAATGCAAGGATGTTTCCTTCACCCTCTCTGTGACCACAAAGGGAGGAATAATTCCAGATATCAGCATTTACCTCTGCCCAAAAATTATGGGAACAAAAGCACTGTAGTAGCATGGCTTCAGCCCTCTGTGTCAAAATATTTTATTTAAAACTTTCAATTTAATAATATTTAGAGTATTTGTTTTTTTCTGGGGAATTACAGGACCTCTCACTTTACTAAGACACAGCCCTTGCCAGACTAGACTTATGAACATGTTTTCATGACTCACCTTTTTGGTTTTGGGGTATTTAGACGCTGCACGGTTGACATGGGATCCAGTTACTGATGCCATAGTTGGGTCAGATCCTGTTAACTGCCTGTTTTCTCCTGAACTGTCTGTACTTCCAGCTTCAGTAGGAGTTACTGAACTGTTATTTCCTCCTTCTTCCAAGGCAGCTTGTGACAACTCTGCCTGCTGTGCAATGGCCTGCTTCTGACGCTTTAGTCTTTGGGCTGAACTGGTCCGGTACCGAGAAATACGACTCTTCGGTCGGGGCCTAGAAGGCTTTGCAGGAGGTGGTTTGGGGACTGGCTTTTCTATAGCAACATCCTATAACAACAGCAGAGTAAATGCTTACTAGAAATTTCTTATCAGCAAACATTCCATCTAGCCCCCTATTCCCTTTAAGCATTCTGAATGTTTACTGGTGAAAAAAGCGAGCATTTAGAAACACTAATTTCAAAAGTAATTCTTATAAAATTTAAATAGTGAAATTAGCTAAATAGGCTGTAGGTAGATGCCTTGGTTATTAATTAATTAATTATTTATTTAGCTTCTTGTAAGTATTTATAAAATAGGTCAAAAGTCAGCTGAAGCCACCTAATTTTAGGGATCTTAGCAAAGACAATTTTCTCCTTTGTTTCTTTCCCACACACTAAGGTTTTAGTTTAAGGCTTAGAATTCAGGGCTAGGGTAGGGAAGGGAAACATGAGTTTACCCTGAGAATACTATGAAAGGGCAGCTGCATGACTGTGTTATACAGAAGGGCCAAAAGAGAAACCAAATAATTTTTATGAACTCATCACCAAGAGTTTATCTGGCAGAAACAATATGACATTTCATTCTAGTCTAAAGTGTCTGGTCATTCCAATTCTGCCTCCCTGTATCCCACAGCTGATGAAAATGGCCTTATTTAATGCAATATGAAATAAAACTGAAAATTCAAATTTTAACAATTTCCAAAAACCAGGTAACTGACATTAGCAAAAGCAAGGATGTTGAAGGCTGGAATCTTTTCTTCTCTTACCCCAGCTTGGGAAGACCTTCGGGTGTTCACCCCAATACTCTGTGGGGTGCTTGGGATGGCCACATTTGAAGCAGAGTTGCTAACTTCAGATTCAGGAGTTTCAGTTTTTGTTTCTTCCCCTACAGGTGTCTCTGAGGCATTGGTAGTAACCTCTATGTCAGAGTTGCTTTGTTCCAAGGACTGATCCCGTCGCTTCTTTCTTTTCTCCAAGTTTTCAAAAGCATGCATGATGGCTTCAACTTTCCTATCTTCCCGGGTCTAGAAAAAAAACAAACACATAACGTTAGCATAGAAGGAAGTTTCAACCGGGGGGGGGACCACGACAGCATTTCAGAAATATTATTTATGAAAATTTATAGACATTTACAAAACTATCAGTACATATACAGTAGGTCCTTGGGTTACATCAGAGATCTGTTCCTATGGCACGATGTAATGCGATTTTTGCCGTAAGTTGGAACCCACCTACAGAAGCACCTACGTCACTCACATGGAGCACATACACAGCAGTAATAAAGTGAAACAGTAAAAAAAATTTAAAAGAAAGATAACAATTCCTGACCTTTACTTGTGGTAAATAAATAATAAAAAGCATAAAGCACATATGTACATACGTCAAAATGACGGAACTTTTTTTTTTTAATAAATGGGACATAGTGACATAACCACGAAATGACATACGTCGAGTCCGACATAACCCGAGGACTGTCTGTATCTTGTAAAATAAAACATAAAAACTAAAAATAAAGTATTTAATTTAAAAAAATATATATTTTACTGATTTTTTTTACAGAGAGGAAGGGAGAGGGAGGGATAGAGAGTTAGAAACATCGATCAGCTGCCTCCTGCACACTCCCAACTGGGGATGTGCCTGCAACCAAGGTACATGCCCTTGACTGGAAATCGAACCTGGGACCCTTCAGTTCGCAGGCCGACGCTCTATCCACTGAGCAAAACTGGTCAGGGCAGTATTTAATTTAAGTGTTAGAATTTTAAAGGAAGGTCAAACCTTAACTTTTCAAACAAGGCCAGCTATCCTGAAACTTTAATATAAAAGAAAAACAGCCATCAAAACCAATTACTTCTCTGCATTTTCAGAGTTCAAAATAACCAAGTAGATTTTCTTGAACTTCTTCTGAGGGACAGAAATAAACATGGATGCCCTAACTGGTGTGGCTCAGTGGATAGAGCGTCGGCCTGCAAACTGAAGGGTCCCAGGTTCGATTCTGGTCAAGGGCATGTATCTTGGTTGCGGGCACATCCCCAGTAGGGGGTGTGCAGGAGGCAGCTGATAGATGTTTCTCTCTCATCGATGTTTCTAACTCTCTATCCCTCTCCCTTCTTCTCTGTAAAAAAGCAATAAAAAATATATATTAAAAAAAAAAAAAGAAATAAACATGGATGGTTTCAGCAAAAAGTAAGAGTTTTGAATCCATATGACTGATAGGGATTTTTAAATGTCAAAACTCACACAAACTTAGAGGAAAATTCCTCTAAGTTAGAGGAAGTAGCCCCAACAGACACATTTTGTTTTGACCAGACAGTTTTTTGGAAATGAGATTGTTAGTAAGAAGCTTCTAAAGACCATCATTGATAATAGGCACTAGACAACTGCTACATTAATAAAATTGACTTTATGAAAAAAAAAATCCAAATTATAATGTGCAGATGATGGTATAGTATGTTGTCAAAGAAATGAGATGATACAAACTCAGAAGAGAAGGGCTTCACATACTATAGGTAGTAGGAGTCAGCTCTAACAAAAGGATGTTATGGGATACCCACCCTCCTGCTATGAGCTGGGTTCTCCTGGTCATCTGTAACCTCTTCTTTTTCTTCTTCTGCCTTTTCTTCTGGATTGTCTATTTCCTTTAAGATAGAGGCAATATTTAGCTGTACTCTTAAGCTTTGGGACAAAAATCACCCCCTGACCCTCCAATAGCTTAAAACTCTCTAGAAACAATTTCTAGTGCTTGATAGTGTTACTCATGTGGGGCCACATGGTAAACACAGACAAGCCCCATTCTCTGGACTAAAACCTGGAAAGTAGCTAAAAGGATATTCTTGACATTGTTTAAAAAAAGAGAGAGGCCCTAGTCAGTGTGGCTTAGTTTGTTGGGCATTGTCCCGTGCACCAAAAGGTTGCCAGTTCAATTCCTAGTCAGGGCACAGGCCTAGGTTTTGGGCTTGATTCCTGGTAAGGGGTGTGCAGGAGGCAGCCAATAAATATTTCCCTCTCACATCGATGTTTCTTTCTCTTAAAATCAATAAAAATATTTTTTTAAAAAAGAGAGAATGAATGGAACGAATGAACATGCACCCACCTTGATATGAAGGGCATTAAGTGTTATTATAGATCCCTACATAAAACATGTGTCAACCTGAGATCCTCTTCGCTTGGAGATGATCAATACCATAGCAACACCCTCTGGCCAAGTAACATTACCTCATGGTCACTGGATACAGTCACTTTCTCAGCAGGAACTTGTTCTGCTTGTGGGTTGGTATCCTCCTCTACAGTCTCATTCTGCTGCTCCATCTCTAGCTCTTTCCGCCGTGCTTTTCTCCGTCTTGTCTCTGCTCCAACGATGGGTAGGCTTGGAGGAGGTGGGAGTGGCAGTTCTGCAGCATTGGGATTCCTTTTCTGTATAGGGCAATTCCGGTTCCCCTTGTGACATGCACAGTCTACTTTATAATTACTGCTCCAAAGAAACAAATAAAAGTGCCTGTCTCAGTAACCTTGAAAATCAGTTATATTACCCATTCATTCTCTTAAAATATTACTACAGTAATTTTTTCTGGTATTATGTGTGATTAAGTTAAACAGAGACATTAGAGAGTCCTATGAGTACTTTCAATATTCTGTGTGTCTACAGAACCCCAACTTTTCCCACTGACCTATGGTCAATGGAAAGAAAAGAAAGCCCCCACTAAATTCAGTTCTCCCAACTGTCTTTATGCTACTGAGTGAGCAATGAATCAGTGAAAAATTCTAAAGTGGCTATACTTATCTTTTGTCTACATCCGCCACTAACTTTTTTACCCACCAATTCCCCACTTATTATTATTATTTTTTCTTAAATATTTTTATTGATTTCAGAGAGAGGAATGGAGAGGGAGAGAGAGAAAGAAACATCAATGATGAGAGAGAATCATTGATCAGCTGCCTCCAGCACACCCCACACTGGGGATCAAGCCCGCAACCCCGGCATATGCCCTTCACTGGAATTGAACCCGGGACCCCTCAGTCCACAGGCCGATGCTCTATCCACTGAGCCAAACTGGCTAGGGCCCTACTTATTATTAATACCTTTTATTATACATGTGCCAAACATCAATTTATAACCTTTTTTGCCTAAAAGGACCATGGAAGAAAAATCATCCATTTTATAAAACCCATCACATATTCATCTGTGATTTGCCATCTCTGTTTTTCTGTATTGTCATATATAACTAGATTACATGATTTGAGTGGATGGGGTGAACCTTTAAATTCTCATTCTATATGACCCCTGGCATAACTGCTGTGTGCATACAACTGATGCTGTCTCAATTTTCAGGAATGTCATACCTACCCATTTTTTGCTATTCTTGCTATAAAGGTATAAACTAAAATACATTTGGTTAGCAGACTATTGAGCAGTTTAATACTATGTATCTATGTCTCATAAAACAAACAAAACAAAAAAACGCCCAAAATCTCTTTCCCTCCAGAATTTCTAAGCAGAAAAATGCAATACTTGTGAAAAGATTAGTTAAAAAAGAGAAAAATGTTTAGGAACAAAAGCAGACCTAATAGCTTAATATATAAGATAAGGTCATTCATGTTAGGAAAGGTTTTAGAGGTCTTACCAGTTACTGTACTCATAATCAAATGCTATGGTGACTTCAGCATCCTTGGTGATAGCAGACACAGCATAGATACACAGGTGAATCATCCCATCTGCAATCATGTGTCGCACCTGTGTGAATAGCACTTATGATTGATGATTTATCACAAAGACCAAAAATTCTCCAAAAGAAAAAAAACGTTTTATACAAATAATTTATCCCCAGTTAGAGTTATAGTAGTCTTAACTCTATCATTTCATTTGTAACTATTATATAGTAAGTGTTTGAAAATGTATGATACTTCAATAAACCTCAAGATGTTAGAAATCAAGGTACAACCACTATTTTATATATTAAAGCTGTTTTCAGAGAATTAAAATTTCTTAGCCTGTAAGAAAACTCCTGTGGAGTTTCTTGCTTTATTTGATATGGTTGCACTGATTAATCAATTCTAAAAATGTCTAGAAGCACTATTAACCATATAGCTTAGTTTGGACCCAACGACATCTTCTACTATATGGTAACTTCTTTACTATAAACTCTTTGACTTCTTATCCAGTCTAGCTCTTTCTCTTAAACAAATGCTTTTCACACTTCTTCCTCTCTAAAGAATTCATTCCTTGCCCCCATCCTGTCAGAATAAAAGCATCACTACTTTTGTTTTTGTCTCTCTTTTACAATTAAAGATCGTAACCATTATCTACAGACCTTAACCTGGGTGAAGTTTTCAGATTGTTTCTTCAGTAGACTTATTCTATTCTTTGGTGATTCCATTAAAAGAGAAGTTCCTACAGAAATCTTACCTCTGCATTTGGTGTACATGATCTTCTGATGAACCGAGCATCATTACCGAAAGTACGTGCATCCACACACATCTCTACACCATTGAATTTTGAGTAGAAGAGCACAAAGGGGTATGGTCTAGGGATATAATTAAAAATTTCTGTAATTCTCAACACAAATAAAAAGGCCACCCCGTTGATTTCAAATATAAAGCACATGCTGACAGAAGCAGCAGTAGTCTTTTGCAATGCCTACACTTGGAAAATATCACATGCTTGTCTGCTTTTGATTAAAGAATAAGCACAAAGCAAGGAATGCTTGGCCTGGAGTCATTACCACTTTATACATTAAATAGTTTGCAGACTTATTAACACTTCTCTAGCTACGGCAGACATGAATGAGATTATTTGAGCTGTAATCTTTTCCCCAAGAGAGTATCCTATCAACCAGAATGGTTTTTATAGCGATACGGCTCAGCCAGGCCCACTTTAGCCCTCACTGCTCACAAAATGATATTCTTACTTTTTGAAGAAATGCCCATTGACCTCAAATTGCTGTCGTAACATGACTTTCCCTCGATACTCTATTATAAGAGTGTCCAAAGCCAAATCTCGTGCAGCCCTCAGGATCTTCCGGTGCTTTTGAACACGAGTGACTCTTCCCAACTGTAGCTGAATAAAACCAGAGTATTAACATTAGATAGCAACAACAGCAGCATCTTATATATAATAAAAGCCTAAGCGACTGTTTTGGCGAAACGACCAGAATGACCAGTTGCTATGATGTACACTGATCACCAGGGGGCAGACACTCAACAGAGGAGCTGACCCCTGGTGGTCAGTGCACTCCCACAGGGGGAGCGCCGCTCAGCCAGAAGCCAGGTTTATGGCTGGCGAGTGCAGTGGTGGTGGCGGGAGCCTCTCCTGCCTCCATGGCAGCATTAAGGAGCAGTGAGCAGACAGGTGGTAAGGAGTGACGGGTCCCCTGAGGGGTTCTGGACTGCAAGAGGGCGCAGGCTGGGCTAAGGGACCCCCCCCACCCCCGCTCAAATTTCATGCACCGAGCCTCTAGTGTGGATAATATTTCCTAACTGAGGAAAAAACACCAATGCTTTTAGGATGTATTTGTATATATCATTTAGCTCAATGATCAGGAATTTTTTTCATATATTTTTATTGATTTTTAGAGAAGAAGGGAGAGGGAGAGAGAGAAACATCAATGAGAGAGACTCATTGATTGGCTGCCTCTTGCACGCCCCCAACTGGGAATTGAGCCAGCAACCTGGGCATGTGCCCTTGACAGGAATCGAACCCAGGACCCTTCAGTCCGCAGGCTGACATTCTATCCACTGAGCTAAACCAGCTAGGGCTATGATCAGAAATTTCTGAGTTGATGAAAGGTCAGTACTTCTAGGAAAAGGACTCCATGTAGTGAACTTGCCACATTCCCTCACACCTTCACAGCTTAATTTGGGCCCAATAACATCAAGAAAAGATACAAGTCCAGCCAGAGGGGCTAAGTGGTTGAGCGTCGATCTATGAACCAGGAGGTCATGGTTTGATTCCCAGTCAGGGCACATGCCCAGGTTCTGGGTTCTTCTCCGGTAGGGGACTTGTGGGGAAATAGCCAATTGATGATTCCATCTCACCACTGATCTTTTTTCTCTGTCTCTCCCTTCCTCTCTGAAATCAATGAAAATATATTTAAAAAAAAAAAAAATCCAAGAAAAATGCATAATTATGATTTTAGTGGTCTATTTCTAATATAAGAATGGGGGGAGGGGGAGAGAGCTTAGCTTTCTATTAAGCTTAATAATTCCTACTGAGGCTGCATAAAATTTCCTATCTTAATTTATATATTTTTAATTAATCAAGATAGTCTAAAAATATGTAACTGGATATTGTCCAGTTACTGTAACTCCCCCCAACCACTACTGATTTTTTAAAAAATATATTTTTTATTGATTTCAGAGAGGAAGGGAGAGGGAGAGAGAGATAGAAACATCAATGATGAGAGAGAATCATTGATTGGCTGCCTCCTGCACGCCGCACACTAGGAACAGAGCCCACAACCCAGGCATGTGCCTTGACCAGGAATTGAACCATGACCTCCTGGCTCATAGGCAGACGCTCAAACACTGAGCCATGCCCGCCGGGCTGATTTTTAGAGAGTGGAAGGGAGAGGGGAGACAAGAGGGAGAAATATCGACGTGAGAGAGACACATTGATTGGGTACCTCCTGCATGTGCCCCGACTGGTGCCAGGGATCCAGCCTGCAACTGAAGTGTGTGCCCTTGCCCAGAATCGAACATGCGACCATTCAGCTGGCGGGTCAACACTCTAACCACTGAAGCAAATCAGCTAGGGCAACTATAACCTGCTTTTGGTTAAAGATGCTCTAAGTCAGCGGTTCTCAACCTGTGGGTCGCGACCCCTTTGGGGGTCAAACGACCCTTTCACAGGGGTCGCCTAAATACATCCTGCATATCAGATATTTACATTACGATTCATAACAGTAGCAAAATTACAGTTATGAAGTATCAATGAAAGTAATTTTATGGTTGGGGGTCACCACAACATGAGGAACTGTATTAAAGGGTTGCGGCATTAGGAAGGTTGAGAACCACTGCTCTAAGTCCTTGTAAATTTGAAAGATATGGTAATTCCAATATAAACCCTCTTCCTGAGTTCTTAAAAATCAACTACTTTGAGCCATTAATCCTTTTATCCTTACCTGCATTTGGGAACCAATAACTGTATTATTGCAGGCCAATTCAGTCTTATTGATAGTGTCTAAAATAGCAGGTTTGCCCACAAATTCCTTGCTAGAATGTAGATGTTGTTCAAGGGCATTCTGTACATCTGCACTGTACTGATTAGTCAAAGCTTCTTCATACTGATCAGTCCATAGTCTTATCCGATTTTCCCATCCCTCAGTTGTATTCTCATCTAAATTCTGTGCTTCAGAAGGAGAATTCTGTAGAAAACAAAGGTAGGTAGGTTAGCAGAGCCCATGAATAAAAATGGGAGGGGGGGAAAAGAGGCTGAGTCTCATAAAATTTGTTTTTAAGTGGCAGTTGGTGTGGCATAAAAGAGTAATGCCTGGGAGTCAGGGGATCTGGCTTCTATAATGGTTTCATTACCAATGAGCAGGGAAGCCTTAAAAAAGCTCAGTTTTCCTCATTTCTAAAGTGAGAAATTAATCTGGATCATACTTCTATCCCATCACTGTAGTTTTATGACCATCTTTAAGTCATAAAAATCAAGTTAAGAAGAAAATTTTCATGAAAATGAACAAGAGACCTCTCAAATATCACATCACTTAAATTTAAGTATTTCTTGGACATCTCTATTAGTGTGCCAGCCCAAATTGATAGTATTTTACTTCTCTCCAGGAGAATGTTTTTGTTTTTGTGTGACTTATGTTCATTATACAATTATTACATGTTCACTTGAAATATACATGTGACCCAAATAAATAAATAACCCATCATCTCATTTCCCATAGAAAAAGCTATCATTCTGGAGTGTATCTTTCTAACACTCTATTTTCGACAGTTTCAATAGCCACACTTTGAAAAGCTGAGGTGAGGAGAGGGGGTGGGTAGGTAGAGTTTGGAAAATGCTGAGAGTACTTTACTATGCTTCTCTAGGGAAAACCATTGCCCTCTATGGTGACAGTACTAAGAAAATATTATTATATCACATAAGCATTATCCTAAACAGTTTTTTGTGTGCTTGAGCTACAGAGACAGAATTTAAGTCTGACACATGCTCTCCTCTCTAGAGCTCAAGACTTAAGGTACCATCAGAAAACAAAACAAATAATTGTGATGATGTCATATTAGTGATGATTAGAAGGAAAAGACAGTATAGTAACAAAGCTACTCATAAATAATGTCCACACTAAACTTGCAAAAACAGGCATAAGAAAATTAAACGTACTTTCATGAATGATATAGACAACATTTATACCTACTGTAACAATTGCTTTCTTTCATTTTTGTGTCACTGGTTTTAACTGACTGTTGTCTACCATCCTTTCCCCACGAAAGGAAAAGGAAAACATCAATACGACTGTTTTTTACATTTCATGCTAGAGTCCAAAAGACTGAACAACAAACAAAGGATCTAAGAAACACCTAAGACCAACAACACACTGAGAACAGAATTTCATCTGCTTGAGATGTAACAGCTGAGAAAAAAAAAAAAGTACAAAACCTAAGACTTAAGGGTGCTTGCTTATAAGACTGAGAATTATGGATGCCCAAACAGTATTCCCAAGTTTAAGCAACCAATAGGGATCACTAAACTTTTGACTTATTACACTCAACATATATGAGAAGCCTTTGCCACAGAATCATATGTTATTCATTGATACAACTCTGTCTAATCTGCTGTCCCATTCTTCTGGGTACTGAACACCCTATCTCAGTAGGTTTAGAACAGTGGTTCTCAACCAGAGGTAATTTGCCCTTAAGGAGATATTTGGTACTATCTGAAGTCATTTTTTATTATCACACCTATGTGTTATTGGTACTAGTGGGTAGATGCCAAGGATGTTGTTAAACAGCCTACAATGCAAAAAAACAGCTCCCTTCAACAGCCCAAGAATTTCTTGGTTCAAAATGTCAGTAGTGTCAAAGTTGAGAAATTTTGAGTAGTCTCCAAGTAGGAAAGTGCCTGACTGTGGGATTAAAAATCCAAATGACAGATTCTTCCCATTCTTATAGCTATCACCCAGAACTTTGGTGAAGTTCTTAATAATGAATTCTGAGTACAAAATTTGCAACTCAACTTAAAATTCTGGTATGAGAATTAAAATAAACTGACTAGTATTTTTTTATTGTATAAATTTTAGCATGTTTATGGGACTGTGTGTCAACATGTCAAAATAACAAGCAATATTTGGGGTTTATGTGTAGTTTTCTGGAGAGTTGATCAACAGCTTTCAAAACATTTCAAATCTCTAAAGACAAATTATAATAGCTGATAAAATAGAAAAGGGCTTAACAGCTAGGATAAGCCTTTGTCTGTTCTATAACTCTATTTAAAGGCTCCCTGTAAGCAAAGGAGACAAAAATAAAGGGGCAGTTAAAGCAAACTTGGCCCCTTGAAGGAGATAATAATTAAGTTGTGTTTTAAGGTATCTCAAGACTCTGATGCTCTTGGGCTCTAAGTCTTCTTCCCATCTCTTCTACAGATATGTACCAGTCTATTTATAGGTGTATACAAGGCAAGGTCTTCAAATTTTAGATCAAGTGCCACCTGTAATCTTTGTTAACATCAGTCATGTTGTACTCCATATATATATACACACATATATATCCTAATAAAGCTTATCTTCACTAAAATATTTTAATGTTTTTCCCATATAACAGTCAATAGGAAAGATTCTGCTTTTATATCATTTATATGTTTAGGGACATGAATAGTTATAGGGAAATACCAGATAGTACAATCAAATCTCCTTTGGGCAAATTCTGTTTTTGTCACCCAGTACCTAAAGTCCATTGCACATAATTTCTCTATTCTCCAACTGTTACCCAAAATCATGCCTCATAAGCTCTTTTATTTGACAACCGAAGAAAAGAAACACATCAGCCATCGGAATCTTCTATATCAAATAAATATGCCAGAAGAAAACAGTTCAAATGTAAGTAATTCCAATAAGAGTAGGTCCTATCAATAAATACCACTTTCCTACTGATGAAAACTATCCTCCCAACTGGTGACTAAAGCCCACATGGTCCTAGGGTAGGTACATAAGAGATCTTATTTTACCAGAAAAACCTCACTCCTGAGGTTGAGGCCAAACACAATAACAGAACATATCTGCCTCATTTTATTTGGCAAAATGTCACTTACCCCCAGAAAAGCAGCTAATGAAAAACCAACAAATGAAAGCTAATTACAGAAAGAGAAAATATTTCAGAAAATGGCCAAGAAAATCTACTTTGGAGAAAGGTTCTATGAAAACCAATGGCAACAATTACAAACTAACAAAAAGTAGAATCCAAGATTCCCAGACCATCAATGTCAGGAAAGAAGCTAACCAAAATGCAAGATCACAGTGAAGTAAAACACAGCATCAGGGAAGAATACCCCTTACCTTCATCCGCAAGGACTTCCGGGATCCCTCTCGAAATGCCTATCCCAAAGAGGAAAACAAGTAGAACAAAACAAAACTTGGTACCAAGAATGACAGTTATACCTATCTGAGACTAAAACTAAGGCAAGAACTAGTGTTCTAGCCTGTCCCCTTTTCCCTAGGTAACAAATATAATTGAATTCCCCACACTATTATCAAGAATAGGGGGTAGCTCAAGGAGCGTGAACTCTGTGGCTAACTCCAGTACTTCCCATTGTGAAACTAGGTAATTAACAGGGAAGAGCATGCATCACTTAAATCCTATATACACACCTGACACTAAAAGAAAAAGTAAATTAAAATGTTAAGTAAGGTGGCAGATTTACCAGTTTTGAAATTAAGAAGGAAACAAAGACCAATCCCCTTAGCAAGGGATGGGCAAGTCACCTAGGAGCAACAAAGTTGCCATGATGGGGAAGAAAGAACACAAAACAGAAGAGGTTTCTCCTAGAATACAGGAAAGTGACCACAACACTGAGGAAGCCTAGACCATTCAAGAGACATTTCCTAACTTTTTGAAACAAGGAAATAAATCAATCCAATGACATGAAGTAGGCATGTACCAGGACAAGAATTTCAGACTACTTTGGGCTGAGGAGGCAGGGAGATACTATAAGGATAGTGGAAGCCTAGACTGGAGGGTGTAGCACATATGGGCTTGTTACCAGGTGGGGCTAGGATTTCATACCTGGGATGGGGCTTGGAGGAGAAGAAACTTTGTGCCAGTTGTGATGGTATGGAGTGGCAGAAGAGAGGTTGGTCTACATGTTGACAACAGATTAGCCGATTTTTGCAAGTAGAGCAAAAGTGGCCCTTCAAACATCTGGATCAAATTCTTAAAAGAATTTTGGTGCATTCTTGGTCCAAAATTTGAGCTATTTCAGACATATTTCTATTTAAGATACTTTACCCTCCATACCTTGATTTTCTTTGTCTTTGGTGCTGCACGACCCTTTTCTGGACTCTTTTTCCGCTTCTTGGGTTTGGTTCTTCTAACAGTTAAGGTGATGCTTGTAGGTGTGTGCTGTGTTGCTGTATACAACACAGTGGAAGGAGAAAGCTCCTCATCCCAGCTTTCTGTTGCACTGCTGTCCCCACCTGAAAAGGTTATTTCATAGTTCACATTATATAAATATTCAAAAGTATATTAAAGCAGCTTATTCTGATAGATTTATTCCATAATCCAGTAAGTCATTACTTCTACTACTAACTCTATCTGTAGAACAACATAAATACCCACCTCCCATTTGAAAACAAGATTCTTTATCATTGGCAGTAAGCAAATAAACTGTTCTATATTGTATCTATTTCTCCCCTGATAATCAGTCCCAAAGCTCCATTGTTTCAGTATGTAACATAGAAAAAGGACCTGATGTTTTTTGCTCACAAAAAATATTTTGATTGCTACAGAGCTAAAATGTCACTTATGGACGTTAAGAGAATTACACAGTGGTTTTCAGAGGACTTCTCTCTCTTTCCGTGAAATGAGCTAGGGACCATGGGAACTTACAGAAGGGGTTTAGACAAATACTTAAAATACAAAATACTTTATGTCAAAATATGGGCATAACCCATCTTCTGCTCACCTGATATGTTGTCCTGCTTCCGCCGATGAAGTCTAATAACCTTCCCCCTGCTCATTCCCCTAAAGATGGAAAATAAACTTAAAGTAGTCCTTCCAACAGCATGCAGCACATCATCGCACACATGGGAGATGTGTCTCTGTATACACTACCCCCTTCCTCCCACCTACCAAAAGTATCCAGGACATTAAATTTCATATCAAATTCAATAGCTTTAACATCAATCTCTCATTCCTTGTTGTCAGCAATTCTCACCTAGTGCAGAGAATTCGAGCCAAGGAGCACTAAGGAATCATCTACATTAACAAACACAAGAAAGAATACTTTGAGCTTTTCCCTACTAATAAGAAACCCTAATCCCAGCAACCCAGGCTTGAATTTAGATGGAACATGATCTTACCTGCACTTGTCACAGTTGAGAAGGAAGCCATCCTGAGAAAGACCACAAGGACACCAGGTAGGAACAGTCTCTCCTTCAGAGTTCGGGCTGTCTCCACAGCGTTCCTCTACGGGCGACGGCAGGCCATTCAGGTCAGAACGAGGGATGATCGTCTGGACAGGGGGAGAAGCAGGAGGTGTCGGAGGAGGAGGGGCTCCGTAATTATGATCCTGAAAATAAGATTTTTTAAATCAACAGTGTCCAAACACTGGCCCCTCTCTCCCCTAAAGTATGGTACATATGGAAAGAAAGAAGAAAGTAGTACCCTTCGTTTTTTGGCTTCAACCAGGAAAGTGATAAAACAAAATGCCAAGGTCAACTGGGACATAAAAACAAGAACAATGATGCAGGGCTAGACGTCCGCTGGAGGCAGGGAAGTGCAAAAGGGGCAACTTCGTCATGCTGCATATAAACATTGCAAGAAAGTCACAATGTATAAGAATGGATTACACTCCAGGAAGATCACTGCTTTGGAGAGAAACAAATGCATACTCACAGCATAAGGCAGTCCTCGACACCCATGCCTCTGAGTGGTCCCATAATTATGAGTGGAATACACGCTCTTCTCATTAACTGCTGGACTAGCCTCCACAGATTCAGGGCTGCACAAAGGCGAAAAGCAATGCATGATAGCATAACACCTAATCTTCCCTTAAACTAAAACTTAACTTCCCATTCTAACCCCTCCTCTTTCCACAACCACCAGCTACTAGAATAAAGAACTCAGTGAAATAATCTGATTAACATAACTAAGCCTATAAATAACACTACGAGTGTTATTAAATGTGGATTTGTGTGTAACATGAAGCCAGTACAGGCAGATGTCTCAAGGCAGGCACCTGGGATACAAGGTGTCCCTAATGACAAACACAAACGTACCAGCTGAGCAGGGAGTTTCCCCTAGAGAAGCCACTCTGGGCTGCTTTAGACTCAGAACTATTCTTCTTAATTGGATCTCTTAATACTTCCATGAAACCTCACATGACATTTGCAGTGAGTGAGATGATGAAAGTGCCTTCTGCACTGCCCCAGGGACCAGGCCCTCTTCCATTCACTACCAAGACTGGATACCCTGAAGAAAGTACAGGTAAAAACAATGGCATCTTATATTTATACCTCTCATCTTGATGAACCCCCAAACACCTTTCAAATATTAGAGTAATAACTTCTCATCCACCAATGACATGCAAGCATATCAAGGACACAATTATCTTACAGCTGCATGATAATACAATAGAACTTCAAAATAATCAAAACTCTACTGAGATGTTTTGTTAGTCTAATGACAACAGCAACAGTGACTACCAATTTGAATTTCCCATTATTTTCTAGGTACTGTATATATATATATATTAATTCATTTACTCTACAACTACTAAACATGGTAAATAGAACCCCTTATTTACAGAAGGGTAAACAGGTATGAGTTTACACAGAGCCAGGATTTGAAACAATGTCTGACTCCAAAGCCTGTGCTCTTTCTACTCTGCCTAACTGGTTTGTAAACCAGGATAACACTGAAAGAAAATTATATGAGATCTTAAGTAACCAGGCTTAGTGAGCAGCTTGGTTCAGTATCTTTTAGGACCCTCCTTGAGTGGAAAATAAACAGTTCAGGCACAATTTATTAATATAAAAGAATTATAAATGTGTTCAAATTTAGAAATTCAACGTAATCCTTTACTTGATAATAAAAAGGCATAGGTGGCAAAGGATAAAATGTGAGTTTTAGGGGGAAAAAAAAACTTTAGTGGTTATGTTTGGCAGAATTTTGAAACATAATTAATGCAATTGTATGACTTTGCATAATGAATAATAGATTATGTCATTTATTTAAATTAACCAGAACAGAGACTCACAAATTAGAAACTCCAAGGACACCATGCATAACTCAACCTTAGAGATCAAAGGGTTTTTTAGGGAATCAAATAATGCATACTGTTTGCCTCAAGTAATATGTTTATTTCAATATATTAAAAATAGACAATATATAGTACTTGGCAGGAATAAAATGTGAGGTTCAATGTGGCACAATGTCAGCTGAGAAGTGAGGGATAAAAGAAAATTCTGATATATGTATCCAACTCACCCAATCATATGCTCCAAAACTGTGAGAAGGGATCTTATTAATAACAGCAAAGGTAATTTCTAGGTAAAGAAGAACTTTAGACACAGGAAAGTATTCTCTGTTAGTGAAGTGCATGCATTTTATTACTTTAAAAGAGTGTCTGCAAGATGGGAACTGGGAGGGAATAAATCAAGAATGCAGGTCAGTATACTCGAGAAAAAGATGATCTGAACATGGCTCATTGGAAGGCAATCAGCTCTGAGTATTAGGAAACAGGTGGGGTTTCCTAAATGAAACCAAAGGTAGACAAGCATTAATAAAATGAAGGCAGAATTTAGTTTCTATGATGGAAAATCAAGAGAAAGTAATTTTATACATTAATTTACTTGATAAACAAGTATTCCAAAGAGCTGTACATATTTTATATAAGAGATTTTGTACCACTGAACACATGGGGTGAAACATGACAGCTGTTTATTAGGAATGACCTGTGTAGTTTTGTTTTTCTTGGGGGGTGGGGAGAAGGAAAAGTGACATGAAATAAAAGATGGCCATGGAGATGTAACTATGTTGGTTTTACCTTACCCATCTCCAAACTGGGTAAATATGAACATATGCAATTCATGTGCAAGTCTAGGGAATAAAAATAAAATGTATGTTTTGGAGGTTAAAAGGCCACCCCATTGCACAATACTTTCTAGTCAAGCACAGCATTTAATATATTGCTATGCATGCCAAATACTAAAATTTAAGCCCATATCTTTTGATGAGGAAACTTTGTAATTTCCATACTGGTTAGTGATTCAATACAGTTACATGTTGACAGGTAAATATAGGATATTTCTTAGGATATTCCTTGATGTATATATCAGCTCTTATCTATAATTTAAATGGATTAAAACTTAGTGTTAGGACTGCATCTCTTTATTAGCCAACCATTTAATGCAAATGTAACTATAGCCTTTTCCCCCCTTATGTTTAAATTGACAGTTGGGCACATACACAGAGCCCATGCTTACAACAGATACACTCCATCAATTGTGTTCCAAGTACAATATGCAATCTGCTGCTATAATGCTACCTCTTGGGAAATGTCTGAAGTGCATTTATGGCAAGACTATACATTCAGAAAAATCTTTTCTTCCTTTGTTATAGCTAGACTTTTCCCCCTACAAATATATGAAAAAGGGATAATGCATAATGTCATCAGCTTAAAAAAAGCATGAGGTAAAACCTAGGTCTTTTTCTTGGTTGAGTATTTTGCCCTCCATATCAGATTTAATCTTCATACCAGTGCCTAGACTAGTAGAATATGCATGACAGTAAAATATGCATGATGAAGCATTAAAATAGGCAACAATAATTTAACAGAATGGCATATAAGCTAATTGTTGACATTCTCTTGCTTTGTAGAAATACCAAACAAATAATTGTGTAATTAGTTATGATCGCACTATCAAAAATCTGCCTGGAGATTGTGAATGAAATGTCTCAAAAAATAGAAACATTGTAGGCAAATTTTTTATGCCAGAAGTATTTCTTCTTTCTGCAATTACTTCTGGATTCCCTAGCAACATGTATGGGCAGTCATCTGTGCACTCTGGGGAAAACACCAGTTTTAAGAATAACTGTTTTTGGTATTTTTCTTATTTACTTATCCCAAACTCACTGATTTAATCTTTTTATTAAAATTTCTCACAAATGTTAATGTTGTCTACCTATATAGTTTGCTAGTCAATCCATATAGGAGGCTAGTGGCTAACTTTATAAAAATCTATTAATACTATGCAACCAATTACTAATACAGGAATATTTTTAAGTAACTTACTTGGGGAATAGTTATAAAATTGGAAACCTTGGCTATTGGCATAACGAAATCTCTTTGGCATGCAAACCTCCCCCCCCCCCAAAAAACAAAAAAAACACAAAAAAATGGGGGGGGGGCATGGAAGAAACACTATCCACCCTTCTCTATCTCCCACCCTCCATCTTTCGTTTTATATGGGAATAAGGCCAAAACTGTGTTAAATTCTAGACTACCCCAGAATATAATAATACATTGCTGCTTAGAGTAGTTTCATTTTAAGCCTTCCTCTTTAAGGAAGTCAGCAAGCAGTTAAGTTATCCTAAGTGGCTTTATGAAGAAATATACATGCTCTTTACTAATATTCTCAGTTTTAAGGAAGAAAACCACTATTAATCAGGGATGCAGTTGAACCCAGAGTTCTAGTACAGTTGCTTTTCTTTGCTGAAGGGGGAGAATCCCCGGGGACTGTGAAAATGGCAAGAGAAACAGGGGAATTAGAGCAACACCCACCTCACTCTAGAAGTGGCTGTGGGATCAAGAGTCTGAACTGGACCTGAACATATTCAAAACACCAGGATTTTTCCAGCCCAGACCCTAATCCCTGGTACTGCCTGGAATAGACTTGGCTTCTGGGGGTGTGCTGCCCCCTAGGCCCCTTGGGTCTCTTTCGCTGGACTTTCACATCCTTGTGTAGTGCCACTTCGTCTTGAAAGGTAGGGGGCTTCCACTTCCTTTCTGTAAGCAAGGAAGATTGGGTACAAGGGAGGTAAAAGGACAAGAGGGGTAATCTGTGAGCAGGGGGAATCTCGGACACTTAAAAGAGAAGGGATACAAAAGGCTAAAATCTTTTAAACTGTGAATAATATATAAAGTTTTATAACGAAGGCCTACCTTTATTGCCATTTGGCATTTAAATTCTTCAAGAATTGAGAGTCTATTTTAGGGATTGGACTTTTCGACAAACTCTGAATTCCTAAAGCTGCTCTTAGCTGAAAAAAAAGTTTGGTACCACTGATTTTGAAGGTCCTCTTTCTAGGCAATGAATATTATAAAAAACAGATGACACTAACTTTCCATGTTTTCTGCCCCATATAAGGTTTAAGTAACCTGCCCATATAAAGTTTCAGCCCCTTTACTCTAGAATAATGAGAAGTACATAGGAAGAGGCCTTCAAGGAAAATCAGTTGGAGAGAACTCCTCTTTATCTCCATCCACCAATTCTACAGAAGCAGGTAGTGACACCTACTTTATTTCAATCTTCCCCACCCATCAAAACAAATAAAAATGTAGTCACTACTTTGCAAATTTCATCCCATTTAATTATTTACTTAGAAACCCCCCTCCCCAATTTTTCCCCTCCCATATTCAGCTTCTATGGGAGAAAGGGTCTAATGTTATTTATAGTGGGCTAGGCTTGGGTTTAGAAAATACTACATGTTTATTATTAGATGCCCACAAGTTGTATCCACACAAACTGGTAATTCACCTACTAGCTAGGAAGTAGCACTTACTCTGATCCAGCAGCCATATCTGAGTAGGATGTATCTGGTGTGGTGACTCCCAGAGGGATTGCAATGCTCATGACGTCCAACACAGCAGAAAGTGGAAATCACGGGGTCCAATTAATGGAGACTGGCCACTCTGAGAGTGGGGGTGAGCTGTAGAGCCTCAACCAACATGTTATGGACATGAGGAATCCTGCCATAGCAAAGGAAAATATCTAGTAACCAGATAGTTCTTTATATTTATCCTAAACATTTTTTCCACTTTTTGAATAAGCCTTTTAAAGGGATAAATATAAAATAAGTACAGCAAGAGATCTACACATGTCCCATGTTTACTATGCACTTCATTAATGAGGTAGCAAAAGTTATGCTTTCTTTTCATTTCTATTTTATTTTTCCACCTTTCAGATAAAGAGAAAGTAATAGTTTGTCCAGCTCACTAATAAGCACATTTCCCCCACTGTACGACATCTCATCAAACGAAATTTTCCAGTAGCCTGAGACCTAACAATTTTAAAGATATAGGCTGGTTAATGGAAATGTCAGTTTAATTTTTTGACAATTCAAAATCTTCATTTAAACGCTGCTCCCTCCGCCCACCACAAACAAATGCAGTTTTTCCAGCAGCCAATGTTATTTCTTTCAAATTAAATATGATAAAAGAGATCAATTTGTTTCTATCTGACTAGACACAGCTGTTTCTTATTGCCTTCTTTTGTTATAGAACACACTCTTCCTTTTTTTGAAAAAAAAATTTATTTTTACTGATTTCAGAGAGGAAGGGAGATGAAGAGGGAAAGAGAGAGAAATATCAATGATGAGAGAGAATCATCAATCGGCTGCCACCTTACACGCCCCACACTGGGAATTGAGCCTACAACACAGGCACGTGCCCCAACCAGGAACTGAACATTGACCTCCTGGTTCACAGGTCGACACTCAACCTCTCAATCATGCCAGCCAGGCCTCTTTTCTTTTTTAAAACCATTTTTAACTGTAATTTTGGGAGAAGATGCAGTTTATTTTAACAACTATATTTGTGAGGTAACATCCATTGCAAGGTATGAATAAAAACGTAAACCATGAAGAATACAGTTTCATGATAAAGATCAGAAAACTTTGTATGGAAAAGCAGTGATGATACCTTGAGAGTTGGTGACCATAACCAGTGGAATTTGAGAACAGAAAGACTCACAAACTACTGAAGTGTAAAAATGCAAAAGTAGATTAAGATATTTGGAGGTATGGTGCAAAGGGAAAAAAGTTTCCTTTGTATGATTTTACATTAATGGTTTTATATTGCAAAAAAACCCATTAAATACAACAAAAACATTAAAAGGATGAAATACAAGCATTTTGTGTGGGAAGAAAGTCATGTTAAAGACCCAGATTGATAAAGATTTCTGTAAAAAGACTGCAAAGAGTCATGATTGATATACTGATTAATGGTAAATGAAGATGGTAGAAAATTCAAACGATTATTTATACTTAAAAAAATATGGCATGAAAAATATTTAATATTTTAAATGGTAGACAATCTGAGATGCTTCAATCTTATTTTGATATATGAAGCAAATTAATATGGGTAAAAAACCCAGTTGTGAACAGTGAATCAATCCAAGATTTTTAAGAACGCATAAATTGTATTACTCTTGTGTCATTTTAGAATGCTAGAATAACTATCAATTGAGCAGTCCTCCCAGGCACCTACACTTCGCAAGAGCTTCATCTCTCCAATGGATCTAGGACTCTTCAAATATGGATGTGGCAATAGATCTGGTTCTACTCAACAGAAGGTGACATATTGCTAAGACTTGAGACTAAAATGAAAGGGCAAATCTTCCTATCTATTGCTTCTTCACAGCTCATAAAAGTGACTAATATAACCTTTTGCCTTTGAGCCTGTCACACACATAAATGTTTCCTTTCCCTAACAATATATCCAGACAGAGATTTAAGCAGTACAGCCTTAACAGTCTCTGGAAAATTGAAACAAAAATCTACAATGATAGGAGAACACATCAAATAAGCCCAAAGGGCAAAACATTAAATACTGAGGATTGTTGGCTCAACTTTTGCTACTTTTAGTATCACTGTATAATTCGAATTAAAAATAAAAATAAAAAAGCCCCCATAGTGCCTGGCTCGATAATCAAAAATAGAGCCTGATAATAACCATACCTTCCCTGACCAATACAGGAATCTGAATCATGTATTATATTTTCAGTAAAGAACAACAAAAAAAGTTACTCAGCACCATTAAAAATCCTCTGTCACAGCCATTATTACATGCCTATAAACAAAGTAGGCTTTTAGATAAAAAAACAACTTAGCCCTAGCTGGTCTGGCTCAGTGGTTGGAGCATTGGCCCGTGGACTGATGGGTTCTGGATTTGATTCTGGTCAAGGGCACATACCTTGGCTGCAGGCTTGATCCCCACCCTGGTCAGGGCCCAAGGGGGAGGCAACCAACTGATGTCTCTCTCTCTCTGTCTCTCCCCCTACCTTCCACTCTGTCTAAAAATCAGTAGAAAGTATCCTTGGATGAGGATTAACAACAAAAAAAACATTAACAAAAAACAACTTATAAATCTACATTGATAGTTGTTATTTTTCTGTGAATAATTTTTAAAATATATACTAAAAAGGAAAAGATGAAAAAATTACTTCAGGTATCTCCCTAATAAATGAATAATTAATAGAGTCCTTAATGAAATCCCACCCCAGCTAATTTTGATAGTCGATAAATAACTTTAAGAAACATTGTTAACTATGAATTTATCTTTTCATGAATTGCTCCATTTTCCTTTTGTCTAGTTTTACATGACTCTTCTAATCTTCTAATGAAAGCAATCATAGGTTATAAAGCCTTCTCAATACCTGGGCTTCTTAATTAAAAAAAAAAAAGGTAACAAATCCAAATTTTTCATGTAACTCTGAGGACAATTCCTTCCTTAGATAACACTTTTCAAAATATAACTATTAAAATTTTAACTATAAAGAACTTTTAACAGATCATCTATATGCAATATTTTCTTATAATAATGGCATTAGTTTTATAAGCCAAGACAACAGGTTCCTAGTATAGTTTACTAAGCCTAGTAGTTATAGCATTTATTAACCTATTACATAGTTTGGAGATGTGTCCTAGAGACTGAGAAGAATTAACACTGTCTCCGGGTGAAACAATTTTAAGATACTTTTTACTTACTTGTTAATTTGTCTCTCTATAAACTCTATGAGGATAGTGGTTTTTGTGCTTTTATCCCCTGTTGTAGTTCCAATGTCCAGAACAGTGCCTAACACATAAAGGGTTTCCAAAAAATATTTGCTGAATGAATTTTGATTATTCTTATCTCAATATATGATTTTATCATTCATCAAAATACAAAAAAATAAAACAAATTAAAATAATTTATTTGGCTCAGTCACCTTTTTATAGACCTCTGAATATGAAGTCCCAAAAAATTATGTCAGTAGCTCTGAAGACCTAGAAAAAGTTGAGACACAAATTAGTATAGAAAGAAATAACATTGATAGACACTGTCTTGTTTAACATCCTATGATCCAATTAGTACTCTCTCTCATTCTATATATATTTATTTTAATCCTCACCTGAGGATACGCTTATTGATTTTAGAGACAGAGGAAGGAGGGAGAGGGAGAAGGAAACTTTGTCTTTCTACTGACTTGGTGCATGGATTCGTGAACATTGAAAGGAAATTAATTAGAAGCTGGCCAGCGGGGTGGGACTGGGTGAGAGGGGCCGGAGACACCTTGGAGCCAACTTCCCGCAGTCCCTCCCCAGCAGGCTGCACCTGGGGATCAAACTAGCCACCTAGTTTATGCCCTGACCAGGAATCAAACCCGTAACCTTTTTGGTATATGGGATGATGCTTCAACCAACTAACCCATCTGGCTGGGGCTCTAGTGCTAAATTTTTATCATTTAATCTTTACATCATTTTTTTTTTAACTTAAGTGATAAATATTTTATTATGCCACTGGATATTCCTTCTCTTTCTTTCAAATTAGAATTATCTCCCATTTCTCAAGGGATACCTTCGTTTTCTCCCAGGAAGTGTTTCTTTCCTCCACTGACCCCTTCCCAAATTCAGAGGCTTTTCTTTAACCAAGTGTCAAATTTACTCTCCAGTCATACAAGAATCTACCATGGCCCAATAAGTTCATATCATTCCTTTTCCCCTCCCCATTCCATCCCACTTATATCTTCTTGTCCTACTACAGAAAAAGATTGACAAATGAAAGTAATTTCTATGTGTGGTCAACTCCGTAATAGAAACACATAGAAAAATAAAGCTGTAATCAACTTTCTACCCTCCGAAAAAGGGAAAAGAAATAGGTGATGACCTAGGACTTTTTGGGGGAAAAAAGTGAAATGTAACATTAGCCAGAAATGAAAGAGCTGTTGATGGTATTTCAGTTACCAAGGAAAGGAAATGTACTCTATGTTATTTTACAAATTTCCAACTTATTAAAAATTGGAAAAGAAACTATTCTGTAGAAACAATTCACAAAGAACATATTAGGAATTATAAAAATAAAAGGATGAAGGTAACAGTAAAAGGAACAACAACAACAAAAACACACAAAGAACTCAAAACAGACATAGACTCCTCTAGCAGCAATAAATAAGAAAGGTAACGAAATGACAGAAGGAAAAAAAGAAATAAGTCTGAGTGCACAGCAGGAGGAAAATGAATGCATTTCAATTTAAGTATTTCCAGAACAATCCGTCAGAATCCACAGAAACACTAGTATGTTCTCGAATTCAGAAGCAGAATCAGCCTGCCTCCCAGTACTGACTACTCCTTTGAGAAGTCACCATTTACATACAGGTTCTTGGGAACAGGCTACTAAATAGAACATGCCAGAAATAGTTTATAATTACTCCTATCTTTTTAATTGTGTTCAGAAATGGTCAATAGTCTTTGTAAAAAAAAAAAGAAAAAGAAAAAAAAGTCTTTGTATTTGTCATTATGACCGTCTCTTCTCTATATGACTTTACTTGCTGAAAGCACAAGACCTGTGTAATCTGTCTAGTTACTCTCAAAAGACAGTGTTTTAAGAATAATTCCAACAGAGATTTAGAGAAAGAAATTGCATCAGCCAGGTGAGCCGGAAGCAGCTGGGAGACAAGAGTCCAATAAACAGACAATTCAATGAAAGAAAATTCAGAACAAGTCTGCTTCAGTAATCCTGTGAAGAGGACTGGCAGGAAGAGGAGTGCTGCTTCAGAAAGAGAACAGGCTTCATATGCTTCAGACAGTCTTTGTACTGAGGCTGTGGACCTTGGCCATTCTCCCAGAAATGATGCAATCCTGATGAACAAGATCTGCTGCCAGAGAAACAATTGTTAACAGCCTATGCAGACAGCAACTAAGCCAAGGAGCAATCTCTGATCAATTTCACAAACCAACAAAAAGCCAAATCTCTTCCCTCAATTTTGGTTTCTGACAAAACATGTGAGTAAATATATATTTAGATATATATATATGACCAAGCCATTTTCTCAAAATGTCCCTCGTCTTTTAATTCCTTTGGCTTTACAATATCTAAGATCCATCATTAAATTTTAATTAGAACACTGAGACCATTTTTACTATGAATATAATTTTCCAAGCATATTAACAACAAGGTATTTACAATGAAATTTTACACTTGTTTTCCTCACTCTCCTAAGAAAACCTTTGGGAGGTAATGGTTTTCCTAAATATAAAAACCACTTTGGAATCTAGAGCCCAAATATGAGATTTCAAAGTAAGGACAAATATGCACACCCACAAAGGTATATTTTAGACATCTTTGAAACTACAGGAAACTCTATGTTAAAAACAGGCATGTGTTAAAGAAAAACAGAAAATTTCTTCTTACTTAGGCTGACAAAAGAAGTAGATTGAGTAATATCATTACACTGTAATGCCTACTTTTCTCAAGGGCAACAATATTATTTCAGATCTTACAGGAGGGTTAATAACTATTTTCATCCTACTAGCCACAATTTACTATTTTATTTTAGAACCTAGCTCAGAAAAATCCTCAATTTAAAATCCTCCATAGATTCTTCATCTCCTAGGCCTCATTTCTTTTTCAGAGCTTTATCAGGTTGTTCATACAGTATAGTTATAAAATTATTAGGATTTTTCTCACTTACTAAATAAAGAACTGCATACAGCAAACTTCAGTTCTCTAAACTCCAACTAGCTACAATTAACCAAATTTCTTCCCTTAAGCAATAACCCTCAAACTGAGATTCACTAGAAACAAGCACCTAAAATATATCCTGAAATCAATATATTCAGACCAACCTACCTCTACATTTAAACCATTAAATAATGAAAATTAACAGATATACAGAATAACAGATAGACAGAAGTCATAAACGATCTTTAACTCAATTAAGGAGAAGAGAAAAAACATGCCAGAAAAACTTTCAATTAGGATTAAAAGAAAATAGTCACTAAGTTTAAGATTCAATTTCTGATTCTGTTATATATGTAAGTTGAATTTATTCTTAAATACTTCTATAATTTCTTTCTTTTTAATAACTTTACAAAATGATAAAAGGGAGATGGGAAAAGAAGGTTTTTTGGTATGATTACCACCTTCAATTTAATTTTTAAATCACAGAAAAAAAATACAACAAATATATGAACGCATTTTATCTACATGACCAACTTGCTTGAGAACTAATGTGGCAGCTGTATTATATGCTTATCTTCTATCTCCAACCAAAATTAAAATACTGAGTGTTTGTACTGTAACAGTTTTTTTCCTTGGGAAAATAAAAAAGTACTATATAATAAGGGTTAGGAAATTTGAGTTCTAGCCTGCAACTTAATTTAAGTTTGGTGTTCTGAGAAAAATAACTTTTTATAGATGAACCTTAAATTCCTCAAAGTAAAATTTTCATTAGGCTTTTTCTTGCTCTAAATTTCTATGAATCCTGACACTGCCTTATGCAATGTCTCAAAGTCTCAGTTTTCTCATCTGTATAATAGAAAGAATAATACCTGTCCTGCTGACTCAGGTGTGTATGGACTATCATTTATAGTACATAAGAGTTTAAATGGCTCTTTGGAGTCTTTAAATACATGTGAAGATAAGCTGCTACTAACAACATGAATATGGGTAAAAATGTTTTTCTCTTCTTCAACAGTGTGTTATTTCAATCTTGTAACAGTAAATAATGTGAGAAGACTATATGTGGAAAACATGAAAAAACAAGCAAAACCCAACAGTTTAGGTGAGATAAGTAACAAGCATTAGAAGATATAAATCTGTTGAAAAGTTCGTATAATTGGGATTAGTACAAATTCTAAGTTAAGCTTACAATTTGTAGCAAGTTAATGAAGGCAGAGTACCTAAGAGAAGTTCAGGGCTGAAAAGAAAAAAAGAAAAAAGAGAAACATTGGGGCAAACAATTAAGAGACTAAAGAAATATCATGATTTAGTAATTTAGGGCCAAGATAAAGTTTTCCTTTTTTCCCCATCTCTTCCTTGGCCACTTTGCCTAAATTTATATTCCCTCTAGGGCAGTGGTTCTCAACCTTTCTAATGCTGCGACCCTTTAATACAGTTCCTCATGTTGTGGTGACCCCCAACCATAAAATTATTTTCGTTGATACTTCATAACTGTAATTTTGCTACTGTTTTGAATCGTAATGTAAATATCTGATATGCAGGATGTATTTAGGTGACCCCTGTGAAAGGGTCGTTCGACTCCCAAAGGGGTCGCGACCCACAGGTTGAGAACCCTGCTAAGGGCTGCTGGACTTGGTACAACAAACCCATGACTAGAATAGGAGGCAATTAAAACCCAGTTTTAAAAAAACACCCCTATTTTATAGTCCATAGCATGAATTTCTTTCGTCATGAAAAATTTCATTAATGGCAATATTATGGAGGAAAGACATACTTAGTTGTACTTGGAGGGGAGGGGTGATAGGACAAGAGTACATGCCATAAATAATGAAGCTAAATACATACTACACTTTTATTTTAGGTTGTTTTAGGTTGACATTTTACTTATTTTACTTATAACTCGTATTATTTTACTTATAACTCGTTCAAAAATAATAAATACATATATACTGCTAAACTAACCAAGGATGCACAGACTATTCTTAATAAGAATTAGAATGACATGGACTTTGATTTACCTCTTTAAAGGGCGATATTCTCAAGACTTTTTGAAGGTTCTGTCCTACTGTGTTTGGAGCCTCAGCATATGCTTTAGAAACATGTACCAGACTAGATAGGAAAAGAACCTCTCATACCTCTACATTTGCCTCCTCTGTCCAAACCGCTTTCATTTTCAAACACTGAAATGGGAACCAGATTTACTTACTCTAGAAGAAATGGGTTATGCACATTTATAAGGCATTAATATCTGTTACACTTTCTGTAGTTTAGGTAAAATTTCTTAAGTTGATAAAAAATTTAGAGTTTTAGGATAAAGTCTAATTCA